ACACAAATTGAACAGGAGATTTGACTGAGGAGTAGGGTGGGGGAGGGTAGCAGCAGAGTGATGTATGGGCTGACCTCTTGTCCATGTCACAATGATACCAGCCAGCTAACAATGGCCCCAGGTTGCCTAATCTCTGCCTCCCTCTCTGAAGCTCACTTTGCCGCAGGGAGGCACTGAATTGAGAAACTGCCTTGCACCAGGTCACGCCCCTCTCTCTACTCCCTTTCTTATATCAAGAGGGGAAAAACACGGAACTACCTCTACCCTATCTGGTCACCATTCGCCTATTACCTTTACTGTTACAAATACCGGGTCACACTCCGGGAAAAGATGCTGCCTTGGTCGTGTTGTAAAAGGTACTTGTTTTCATCTCTTGTAATGGTTTATACAAATAAAGGAAAAATAAAAGAACTTCCCAAGAGGCAAGAGACAGTGGCAGTAGGGTAAAAACTGGCATGAAACTAAAAATTTTCCATCTAGCTGGCCTGGGAAAATGAAACAAATAGGTTGGTTTATGGAAGATGCCAAACAGTGCCAGAGCCTAGTCCTGGAAGTTATGAAGCTCTTCCCACCTAAGACTCCGAGACAAACTAATTTGTGCTTCTTTTCCCCCATCAGCATCACTTATAAGGAAGAGGAGGACTTGACACTGAGGCCCCGCTGCTGCCTTCAGTGCTCCTGAGTCCCTAGCAGGCCTCCAGGTGGGCAGAAGCACCAAGCAGGGTGACCAAGATCAGCTTAAAGAACTGTATTCGGTAAGTGGACTGTGAGCTGGTGCTGTGGCAGGGCAGCCCTTGCTGACCATGTGATACCTTGTGGGCAAGAGACATTAGCCAGTTGGAAAATGAATCACACACACCAAAAAGAATCACAAAGCTCAATGAGACTTTGGAGCTCATGTGTAAAACCTATTTGCTTTATAGACGAGGTCTCTGGCCCTGAGATTTTTTTTTTTTTAAGATTTATTTACGCACACAAGAACTGGGGTACAGGCTAGAGGTGTGGAAGGTAACAGGATTTACCAGAGACACAGTGGTGGAGCAGAATGGGCAGATGTACTGAAATACACTGCTGAGAGAAGTGGGCGAGAACAGGAGAGGTCTGCTGTGCCATGTGGGTCAGCTCCCTGGGAAGGGCTCGAATCTGGCCCAGATTCTAAGGTTATAGAGCTGATGTTGCTGAGGAAGTGGGACCCAACATCTGGGGAGACTGAACCAAGACTTGTGGGACAGAAAGCTGTTTAGATGCTAATGGACTAGAACGCAGAACTACACCTGCTTTCTATGACTTTGTAATACCACCCCTGCATTTTTTTTTTTTGATTTTTTTTATTACAAAAGTTTATTTGTACATCATTTTGTACATTTTTCCCCCCCATCTCAATTGTAATCCCCGCGGGTTTCCCATCACCAAGTCACCCATGTGCCATCACCAAAATCCCGTGCATTTTCCTTCCCTCCATCCTCCCCCCTCCCGCGTTTTTGATCCCATTCCCCACTCCACCCCCGCAAAATGTCTCTGGTATATGGTTGTTCATTATTTTTGTTATTTTCTCCCCTGGTCCATTATACTCCTGCTATGAGTGAAACCATCCGGTATTTTTCTTTCTCTTTCTGGCTTATCTCACTAAGCATGATCTTTTCCAGTTCCATCCAAGTTGCTGCAAAAGACATGTGTTTCTCTTTTTTGGTTGCTGAGTAATATTGTATATATGTACCACATCTTTTTAATCCAGTCATCTACCTTTTGGGCATTTGGGCTGCTTCCATGTTTTTCCAATTGTAAGTAAAGCAGCAATAAACATGGGGGTACAGGTATCTTTTTCAATCAGTGTTTTTGTGTCTTTTGGGTAGATACCTAGGAGTGGGATTGCTGGGTCGTAGGGAAGCTCCATGTTTAGCAGTTTGAGGAACCTCCAAACAGTTTTCCATAGTGGTACCACCCCTGCATTTTCAATGAGAAATGGGGGAAAAGCACAGGAGTGTTATCAGTGAGATAGTAAAATCGATGGCACCATGTAAGCAGCAGCTCTCTGAGGTAGATGTCACTGCCTTGAAGGCACTCACCTGAGGTGAGAGAACAGGCAATGAGACTGCATTGCCTCAACTCCAAGTCAATGCCAAAAACTCCAAAAGAGTTAATGTCTTAGAACTATAGGATCTTGTTCTCCCAGGCTTCCCAGGAGTGGCCTCTTTGCTTCCAGACACATCCAAATTAGCGTGAGATTGGATTTGAGGATTAGATGAACACAGGAGATAACTACCACTTTCTCCATTCCCAGGCAGGGAACCTGACAGTGCTGGCTACCGATCCCCTGCTCCACAAGGACCCGGTGCAGTTAGATTTCCACTTCCGCCTCACCCCCAAGACCTCTGCCCACTGGCACGGCCTTCTCTCTGACCATCGACTCTTCCTGGATATCCCGTATCGGGCTTTGGATCAAGGCAACAAAGAAAGGTTACTGATTCTGGGAGGGTTGGAAGGGAAGGGGTAGAGATGTCACTCATTTATTATGTCATAATTAGTGGGCATGCAAACCAGTGGGAGCTGGCTCAGGAGCTGGATGCATTGAACCACTGTGGTAGACAAACCCATGAACTAAGTTAGGATTTGGGGGCTAGGAAATAACAGCCTATGGGAAACCGATTCAGAAACAGGAGATCCGTGAACAGCTGAAAAGGAAGTGCTTCCCAGCTGTTTATGTCTACAGAATTCCTACTCCCCAGCCCCTTTCCAGTAGCATGCTTCAGAGAAAACTATCAGAACTAGTTTAGCAGCTTTCATTTCTGGCTTAGGTCAGCAAAAACTGACCAATTAAGATCTCTTCTGCTTCAAGTAGGCATCTGGATTCCAACTTTGGTACACATTTCACTAACCATTATTTTTCTCTGGCCCCTAGCCTGACTGCAACACTGGAGTATGTAGAGGAGAAGACCAATGTGGACTTGGTGTTTGTAAACTTCCAAAACAACCGAAATGATCGAGGTGAAGACGTGTTCATCCTTCTTGTTCCTTAATGCAAAGGCAACTAGCAGCAGCTACTACTACATAGATCTTACCCCATTTTTAATGCCTTCTGGCATTTCAATGATTCATAGCCCCCCCCACCCCCCAGGAAATTAAGGTAGAAAGCATTCCGTCAAGTTAGAACTGGATTCTCAGTAAGGCCCTGCAGGTAGATTTAAGATGACAGGCTGAAGTCTTCTTCAAAGGGTATGGCTGGAGGGAGAGCACAGATCACTGATGTATTCACACCTTCAGTGTGGAAGAGGCAGAATGCCAGGAAGTTAGGTATAACCAACCAGATGCAGCAGCATAGGCCATCAAACTCAAACTTCTTTCTCCTTCAAGTTTATTCTACTGGATATAAACCAAAGAATGGTCAAATGTTTACCATGATGTCAGCACTTCATTGACATCTCATTTAATCTCAGTGAGGAAGGTCCTTTGGTCTCCATTTTATAGTTAAAAAGTTCACAAAGGGTAACCTATATTACAATGCATTAACTATGCATTACTCCCGGTGTAGTGACCATTATACAGCTAAGTGCTTCCCCTTCAGCCATATCCTAGGGGAAGAAATCAAATACTTGGGGAACAGACACACTGTTCTAACTTGTTCTGTTTTCACAGGTGCCCTGCTACGGGCCTTCAGCTACATGGGCTTTGAGGTGGTCAGACCAGATCACCCTGCTCTCCCTCCTTGGGACAATGTCATCTTTATGGTGTATCCCCTTGAAAGGGACCTTGGCCACCTGCCCAGCAAGCCTCCCTGAACACACTTATTCCTACTCATGAGGGGCTGGGAGCCTTGAAAACTGGAAACCATGGAACCAGGATGTGACTGATAACACCTTCCATCCTAGGAATAAAGGGTAGTGCAATATTCAAATGTGCACTGTGTTTCGTGGGGAGGGGTGGCTGGAGGCTGGGGGCACGAGCCTTACAGAGCTGAATTCACTAAGGTCAACATTTCGCCACTGGGAGACCTGAACCAGAAAGGGGAGGAAACCAAGACTTTAATACCCCTTTGCCTTCTTCCCACCTCAAAACCTTTTCCCCACATACTTTAACCACTTACTGAGCATCTGCCTGGTACAAGGACCAAGTACTAGGAAATTTGGGAAGGCTTAAGCCTTGTTGGGAGATTTCCATCCACATGTTTCAGTTCTTTGGAAATCAGAGCATGATGTCAACAGGTAAGCTAGGAAGTGCTTAAGTGCGTTCTAAGCAGGCAGCAAAAAAGTGCAAAGTTGTATTGGAATTCGGGACCTATCAGAATAGGATATACACTGATGAAACTTAAAGAACATACTTGAGCACAGAAACTGCAGCTTGGAATGAGACTTTTTCAGAGAAACACTACTTGAGAGAGGCAGGGGGCCCTGTTGTAAAGTTTAGTTAAGGGCTGAGCCCACCTCATTGCAGCTAATGTCTTGATTGGTGGTAGTCCTTACCAGTTCCTTCAAGTCTACACAAGCTCCTCCTCAGAACTGATCCTTTACTTGGGATTATTCTACAATCTGGTACTGAGATTTTTCTGAGATAAATTTGGGAAATAGTTATGGGCAGACCTAATTCCAAGATTTAAAAAATCTTGTTTTCTAGCTTATCTGTGTTCATCCTAAAATATGTGCTATTATCTACCACCCTATTAATGTACATTTATAATTTTAAGTACCTTTACAGTTCTCACTGGCCCCCACCCAAGGCAGAAATGGCAAAATGCTGTAGTAAATTAGCTTCCTGAAGACAGTTGACAGTAGTGTGTTCTTGAAAATCAGGCCTTTTCTTCCAAATGGTTTGGGTGAGGTTTTATTTACATAGCCTAAATCAAAACAATAAGTGAATGGCTATTTCTGAAGTGAGTCTAGGAAAAGAACATGATCTGTGCATGGGACACATGTGTGTTGATGGGCCTGTTTGGCAGTTTTCACCAGCATTAGGCTTAGAAGATAACCACAGGCCTGCTTCTACTTTGTGACTTAACTAGAATTTAATTTTTTTGAGAACTTTATTCAGTGAAGACTGAAATAGTAATGTTCTGAGTCTGTATGTACACATAGATGAGAGATTATACTAGCACAGCAGTTTAGAATATTTTCTGAGCCGCCTCTCCTTGTTTACTTGTAGTTTAACCAAAGTTTCAGGGAAATAGCTGGAGCACTATTTGCAAAAGCTTATCAGTAGTTGAGGCTGGAAGACAGTCTTCTCTTCCCACTTCCTGAGGCTTTTAAATATAATTATGTTGACTTTTGCCCTTGTATCCTGACTCATTTGTAGTCTTTGAGTTTGTCAAAAACTTAACCAGAGGCATCTGATTAAGTCAGGCATCTGCAGAATCATCACTTCTAATGACAAAACCCTCACTGTTTCCCAGCCTCAACAACACACAGCCCAGGCATAGTGACCACTGTGACTGGCAGAAGAATGAACCAGGCACAGAGCAACATGGTAGTAACGCAGCAGAATTCAAACATGGGGGGCAGGGGGTAGGGGGTGCATGTATTCGTCTGTCTCTGCCCCACACGCTTTCTGGTAGTCCAGGGTAGGAGAAATGCATCTGGTCCACAGTGAGTCAGATCATGTGTGTAATAAATGAAGGACTGCATAGATCTCTATCATGGGCTCAGCTTCTCTCTTCAGGCACCAAATCCTGTCAAAGACACAAACACACAAAGACAAAAAACTTGAGAGGGCTCAATGTGAGAGCAAATTAAACTGCCGGGAAACAGCTATAGAGCAGTGGTACTAAGACAGGCTACAGGGATATGAAGATGAAGGTTTCACCCCCATTACTTTCTTGATGCTACAGATAGATGAGTACTCCACTCACACAGTAAAGCAGATCTGAAGCTGTTGAAGCCAACTTCAGAGTAAGTAGTCATCTTCAAGGTTATCATCGCCAGACATAGAGGCGGCTTCTACTTAGCAGAAAAGAGAAAGTCAGACACTTCCATAATCAAGCAGGTACTGCTTCTGAAGCTCAGGAGAGAAGTTAGGCTTGTTATTCAATGCCCACATTAGTTAAGAGCCAAGCCTTAACCTCTCTAGTTTGAAGAGACTGTTGAGAACTTCCCAAAATGCTCTAGGAAGGAAATGCTACTTGTACCTGACAAACTGAGGCAGGACAAAGTATTTGGTATTTCTCCAGGGCTCTTCTTAGTCTCAGTGAGCATGCTGTCAAGAGAGAGATCTGTTTCTGTAGCCTGAAGAAGTGAAAATGAGTTAAGCTGGCTGGTGTGAAAAGAAAAGCCAATCCACATTTGCTCAAAGGATCTGATTAAGGCTGTTGAGTTTGGCTATTAAGAGGGACAAAATCCTCCCTTTATTAACTAGTGAAACAATCAGAGTTCTTAAGAAAGCTCTCTAAAATGGCATGCATTGACCAAAGCCCTCATGTCTTCCAAGGCACCAAATCTGTGCCCATGAAGCACCCGAAATGACTATAATAGTTCACTCACCATATCTGGCAACATATCTGGGACAGCTCTGTTTTCCTCCATGTCTTCGGGAAGCTCAACTGCAAATCCTTTACGAACTAATTCTAACCCAATATCAAGTTTCTGAGAAGAAAAATTAAGAGTAATATTCACTCAGCAAATGAAGGTAAATCTGAAGAAAAGGGTACAAGAGCCAGGACTGATAATTTATAGACTTTGATGAGATAGTAAGCAGAAACTTATGAAACAGGATTATCAGATAAGGTTTTCTAGGAAAAAAAAGGTAATGAAGTTATACACACACACACACGTGTGTGTGTGGTATTCTGAAGACGCACAGTGAGTGAACCCCAATCTTACCTTCCCATTGCTAGTATCATAGAGGTAGATCTTGGGCCAAGTTGAGGTCCCAGTCTGGACATAGCTAGAGATCTTGGCCACAAGGGGCTTCCAGTCAGCACAGTGAGTGAGTCTGTCAAACTCATCCAAGGCCTCCTCTTCCCATTGTTCACCTGCCAAAGATTGTAGGAGAGCAGAAGAAGGTGTCAGTGCTGACTGGGTAGGGTTATACCCTGGAGGGAAAAGGGAAGTCTTTCTACTCCAGAAAGAGAGTTAGAAAGAAAACTACCTTGCTTGGGAAGTTTCTGGATGATGTTTTTCTAGTGCTGGTGTGGAAAAGGCATCTGAGTCCCAGAACTCAAAAAGCCTAGGAATGTCCTATGTGAAAGTTAAGTATTTGGAAAGTCACAAGTGTACCATTACCTGATGGGGCAATCCGTGCCAGGCTACATTCTATTGCTTGAAATGGAAGGCTTAGGAAGTCACTCCTAAAGTGAAAGAAATAGGAATTAGGATTTCTTAACTACAGACAGCACCAACTAATCCAGCTAGAAAACATAATCAACTGCTCTCTGCAATTAGGATCTCTTTTCAAATTCCCCTACTGTTGAGTACTAAGAGCTCACCACACGTGCCCACTAATTGGGACGCCAGTCCAAGTCCACTCTGGCTTCTGCACTGACCTGAGTGCCCTGAGCTCCCCCACTGGGCAATCTCCGTTATCTCCAAAGTCAACAAAGTAGAGGTCCAGGTTTCCATTCTCCAAGGTGCCAAGGACTCGGGCTCGATACCAGGAACCATTTGCAGGTAAAGGTGCTGCTACAATATCTCCCACATTCACAGTCAAGTCTTCAGGCTAAAAAATAAACAAGGAAATATTAGAAGGAAGAAAGAATGAGTAGTTGCTTCACGGGTAAAGGAAGAAGGGTTAAGGAAGAAATCTACTGCAATTAAGAAGGTATGCCTCTCCCCCTTCCCCCCAACACACACAAGATATGCCCCTTTCCCATCAAACCCTAGCCCGGTGTCCTGACAGGGCAACTCACCAGACTATTCTCATAGTGCTGGGTCATCTCACTGACAAGCTTATCTAGTTGTAGGCTGCGGGAGCCAATGATTTGGATCCAGAAGTGGTTAGGATGTTCAGAAGCAGAGACATAGACTTCCAGGAACTCATCAGCATGGAAACTGAAGTCAGGACTGGGGACTAATCACAGGAAAAAATAAGTTAATCAGCAGCATCGATATCTGATACCAGAATCATCTCTAGCTGGAATGGGAGGCTGCATCCCAGGGTGAACGGTACTAATACTGAGAGGCTAGTCCCATTTTAAAATGACTGGAGGGCCACCTGTCATATATCCCAAATCACCAATTACAGTGAAGGGAAATGCTCTGAACAGTTGTCCCATGGAGCAATGACAAGATCTATTTATAGAGATGATTAACTTCTTCAGCTGGGTAGTCGATACTGTTCAGAAGCCAGGAATAAAAGAAGTCCCTCTGGGGTAGACTAGGATGGACAGATATGCGTCCTCATTCTATCACTGACTTATTATGTGACCCTAGACAAGTTTGAACTCTTAGGGCCCTGTCCAGCCTAATACACATGTACAGAATAGAGCCCACAGTCTTTGTTTTTCTTGAATGGTGATGACTCTTAAACTTTAAAACAGTAAGCTAGGCAAAAACAACAACAGCAGGAAAAAACAACACATCAGGGTATTTTGTCTAGTAAGTTATGTTAGGAGAAAGAATATGTAAATTCAATTATTATGTGTCACTAGCTATTCTGGATTCAAGTAAATTATTACAGACATACCTATATAGCCAGACTTTTAAGTGACAAAGGAAAAATTTTTTTCATTGCTTCCTATTATGAATTATCTAAGCTAGTATTTCTATCTTCCATAGGACTAATGGGTTTCCTCTTTGCTACATACTTTCAAACACAGACATCTCCGGACTGGTCTGGTCTCCAGAATTCTGAAAGCTGTCACCACTGGGTTTCTCCCAGGAACCTTCCTCTGGACTGACAACAGTCATGTCGCCACCTCCTGTGCGAGGTGGAGTTGCTAGTGGTGAGGCTGGCTCCATGCTTTTCCATAAAGCTGGCTCTCCAGCTCCACCTGATTCTGTCATTTCTTCTCTTCTTACACTGATTGGTTGCTTGCGAGGAACTCTGGTTTCTGCAGAATGAGCAATCCTTTTCCGAAGTTCTTCATCTTCTGAAACTTTTTCCAGTATCAAATGCTGTGGAAAGTGAAGGAAGGGATGACATCTACACATCTACACTGCCAGTATTTTGACCCAGGTTGGAATAAAGGATTTGTCTCATTCCTAGTTATTTTTTTAAGTCTATCAGCTACTTGCCTTGGCTGCTGCCACTTCCTTCTGTGTTCCTGAGATTTTTATAAGTCTTGATAGTAGTAATGTCCCCTCTGATTCTTTATCACAAGTAATTTTGGCTCCGGAAGCTTTACAGATAGAACGAATTGTCTCGCCGCCTCTTCCTGCATTAAACAATATACAAAAACCTGTTGTTCACTCCAGGCCTACCTTATTCACTAGAGAAATTACTATTTTGTATCAGTAGGAAAAAGGAATCAGTTCGAATTTCTGAACAGGATGTAAGAGAGTAAATGGCAAGCAGCAGCTACCGTAATCTTTACTGATAGATGGGGAATACTGGGTACTTGTTCTGCCCACCTTAAACTCTACACATTGCTAAATTAACTTCTTCAGTTAGTTGCATTTTTGATCATTTACCATATATTACACCTCCACTTCATTAGCAGGTTAACTCCAGTTAACCTGTGAGGCACTGGCTCAAGGACAGGACATCTTTCTGTCTCTAACATTAGCACAGAGTGCTCCAGGGAAGCACAACAGGTACTCTTTACAGCACAAGCTAGAAGATTTGGGATGTCATGAGCATCCCTAAGTTCCCTTTAAATATATATTATGAGGCAACTATATTTACCTGAACACTTCTGGATCTATTTATAAGGTTCTAACCGTGGAACTACATGAGGTAATTTTGGGTTTTGCTTTCCCATTGGTTCTTTAAAAAAAGCAAAGCTTCTGGCTTCAATATCCCTGTTCTGTTTTGTTTTTCAGCAACATTAAAGGGAAGAAAGCTAAGGGAAACCCTTGGGAAAGTGTGAAACAAAGGCAAAAAAAAAAAAAAGGACAGCCGAGGACCATCCAGTGGTACCTATGATTCTGCCCACGGATCTCTGAGGAACTGAGAGCTGTTCAGACACTGGGGTATTCTCTGTCAGGATCTGATGAATTGCTGCCTTGGCCTTGCACACCTGAACAGGAAAACCACTGATAAGCAGCACCCGCTCATCTCCTACATCCTCTGTGTCCACATCAATCCGAGCACCTGTCTGTTTCCGCAGCTGCAGAGAAAAGGATAGAAGGCAGTGTGTTGTGGACAAGCTCCTCTGGATCAGCCAACAACATGTGAACTGTAGACTTAACTCTGGAGGTAGCTGTCAGCTAAATCAGGATGCTCTAAACAGTTACTTTGCTCACGCTACTTATGGAAGGTTAGTGACAAAGAAACCCCAAATGGAAATTAATTAAAAGTTTCTTTGTGCAGGCCTCCTTGGTAGGGCATGGGGTTAAGTCTTCAACTATTAAACTATAGGCAGCCACTGTACCATGCGTTGGATCCCCAGCCAGGGAGCTGACCCACATGGCACAGCAGACCTCCCATCTCACTCACTGTTCCCCTCAGCAGTGTATTTCAGTCAATCAGCCTGTTCTGCTTCCCACTATCTGGTAAATCCTCTCCCGCCCATCCCCACCTCTTGCCCATACCCCAGTTCTAGTATACATAAATATGTTTAAAAGAAAATTCCTTTGTGCTTAAGAAACTTCCTTCCCCTTAATTTCATTTGAATTAGAAAATTAAGTATTTTGTTTTATTGATATTCTAATGGAACAATGGAAGGTGGTAATAAGAATTCGTTATTTACTGCCAACTTATTAATTCCATTGAAAAGAGTGGCTCAAGCTATACCAAGTTGAGATTCATCCAATCAAAAACCCCAATTCAAGCTAAGTTATCCATTCTCTACAGAGTAGAGGTAATCATGGCTAGAAGGAAACAGCATAGTTTTTTGTTATAGCTAAAATTTCCTTATTTTTTATAGGTAAAGATTTATTCATTGATGCATATAAGAATTGGGGTACAGGCCAGAGGTGGGGGTGGTAGTGAGAGGATTCATTAGAGACAGAGTAGGGAGCAGAACAGGTAGATCTACTGAAACACATTGCTGAGGGAAGCAGCGAGTGGGAAGGAGAGGGCTGCCACGCCATGTGAGTCAGCTCCCTGGCCAGGAATCGAACTTGCACAGTACTGGCTGCACATAGCTTCATAGTGCTGTGTTTTTAACCTGTTGCGCCCAAATTTCTGTATTCTTTCTTTTAAAAATATAGTTTTTGTACCAAAGTAAAGTTCTGTGAAAAGTGTTAAGATTTAACCCTTAAGATACAGGCTATGGGGGCCCTCCCCAGTGGCGCAGCAGGTTAAAGCACAGCACTAATAAGCTAAAGACACCTCAGCATGAGCTGGATCCTTGCCCCAGGGGTGACTCACATGGCGCAGCAGACCTCTCCTGACTCGCCCGCTGCTCCCCTCAGCAGTGTCTGCCTGTTCTGCTCCCCACTCTGTCTCTGGTGAATCCTCTCACCGCCCCTGCACCTCTGGCCTGTACCCCAGTTCTGTATGCATAAATAAATAAATCCTAAAAAAAAAAAAAAAGATACAGGCTTTGACACAGGACCTTATCTTCTAATTCTTCTCCACTGCGGATGGTACTGGGACCCCACAGTGGTTATTCCAGAACCAGTAAGTACTTAGTAACAGAAAAAAGGACCAAACATTGAATTGGAAGAAAAAGATTATAACTAAAATATTAGTAACTTAATTCCAAAATTGCATTACCCTAAATAAAGCCTCTATTTCCCCCAGCATTACTGCTTTTGACTAAGCAAAGTCAGTATTACCTATATTATGAAATATACAAACAAAATCTACAAAGTGTGGGCTTTGTGGAGGGAAACAAGCAGCAGTCAGCATACTCAATCCTGGAGGAAGCCGACAGCCTACTAGCACACGCACCTGTTTAATATTGGCTCCCTGTCGGCCAATGATGAGCTTCACTGCTTCCTGGGGAACGCGCATCTCTATCTCAATGTCGTCCTCCCCAACAAATGTCAGCCGTTCTTCTGCACAGATCATGGTTCTTCAGATCAGACTTAGCTAATACCCCAAAACTACTATCAGCCCTCCTAGCTGTCAAAAAAAAAAAGCCACTGATCCGAGAGATAAATTGAGGATCTCAACCATTGACAAAATAGTATCTGGGTAGAAAACAGAAGGTCCTGAAGGACCAGAAGATGGGCACTCTCTGGGATATTTTCAGATGCTAAAGTGGAAAAAACATTTGGCTCTCCCAGGAAACGGTGCTGGATTTTGGGCAAATTATTCTTCTCAAGACATGACTCCTGGAGAAAAATGAAGGCTAGAAATTGCTCAAGGAAGTCCATTCAGCTCAGGAATTCTGTTTGTACATAAATAATTTCTCAAGGTCCTAATCTCGAGGCCCAGCATATGAGGAAACTGGAAACTATAGTTAGCCTTCTCTTAGTGACAAAATAAAAAGGGTATATAAAAAAAGTGCAGATATTTAAAACAAAAACGCCAGAAAAGAATTTACTGCAGCACTGATGTTGCTGAAGGGAACAGAATAGGATTATAAAATGAGTTCCCTTCAAAGCTAGCTTTAATTAACATAGAAAAGAAAGCAAATATTACACTTCACTTAAAGATTCCTCACAGAAAGTCAATTACTGCACAACAAATGACAATTAGTCTGGCAAAGAAAGTTTTCACTTTAATTTAACCAAGGGGATAATCTGGACATTTCCTCATATATACAGCCATGAGTTCACCTACCTCTACTTTCCCTGTATCTGCGGTATAAGATATAGGCAACTGTCGCACTGGCTGGGATCCCGAGGCCCAGTGCTATTTTCTGAAGAGTGGACAAACTTGTCCAGGAAGTCCGTTCAGTGGACATTTTCTTTTGTGCTCCAAATTACATCCTAAAATAAGTAAAAGAGGGAAAGAAGCTTTCACCTAACAGTTACACCTGGGAGAGACAAGGGAATACACTGTAATGCGGGAATGGAATATTGACACCTTCTTTCCCCTTTCAAGAGCTTAAGCCTTCTCAAAATCTACTTCACATAAAATGTATCTTTAAAAAGTTAGCTGACTGGCCCTCCCTGGTGGCGCAGCGGGTTAAAGCACAGCACTGAGAAGCTAAAGCCACTTCGGCATGAGTTCAATTCCCGCCTGCCCCGGAGGTGACCACATGGCACAGCAGACCTCTCCTGACCCGCCCGCTGCTCCCCTCAGCAGTGTACTTCGTCGATCTGCCTGTTCTGTTCCCCGCTCTGTTTCTGGTGAAGCCTCTCACCACCCCTGAGCCTCTGGCCTGTACTGCAGTTCTGTTTGTACAAATAAATAAATCTTAAAAAAAAAAGTTAGCTGACACACACATATACACACACCATTAAACAGAGGTGTATTTCACTCCCCAAGTCTCTCCAAGGAAAATTATGTACTACTGGTGTTAAAAGACAAACAGGGCTCTCCTTGGTGGCACACGGGTTAGGACAGAGCACTGCAAGTTAGCCACAGCCACTTCAGCACAAGTTCACCTCAGAGCTAGTTCAATACCCTGCCCTGAAGGTGATCCTACATGGTGTGGCAGACCTCTCCTGACCCACCCGCTGCTCCCCTCAGCAGTGCACTTTGATGATCTGCCTGTTCTGCTCCCCACTCTGTCTCTGGTGAATCCTCTCACCGCTCCTGTACCTCTGGCCTGTACCCCAGTTCTATACACACAAATAAATCTTTTAAAAATTCCTATCTGTTCCTTCTGTGATGCCACCTTCTGGAAAAGTAGTGGCTGTCTCTGAAGGAAGGGCTTCCCAGGTTAAATTTTAGGATTTGCTACATCATTTGATACAGTTACAAATGACTGGTCTCTCAGTTTAGCACTGACAAGTTTGTCTCCCCCCACCCCTTTTGACAAGTTTGTCTTAATGACTGCACTGGTCTCTTAGATGACCATTATTAGCAAATTTTGTCTCTCAGATAATCATTAGCAAGGCTGTTTTTCCTGATTCCTTGCAATTTCTCTTCCCTTGTTTAACAGGTTGAGTCTTGCATTTTAAGGATGCCAAAAGACAAACTGGTGCCCACCCGTTTCCATCTCCGTGCTGACCTCTGCTCCCTTCCCTTTGCAATTGCCTTTGCACACCTCCCCTCTATGATTTGGCTCTGTATAAATAGCCTTGTAGCCTGATAAAGAGGACAGGTGGTCTTTCAGATATGCGTCTGCCCTCCTCATTTATCAACAACAAAAAACCACTTTCCTTTTCTTCAAACTGTTTCCTTATATTGGCTGAGGAGAACAGAGACCGGCATTCAGTAACACTCTCATCTTCCTTGGAAGCAGTCTTTATTTACCATCCCTGTGCCCAATTTCTATTTATGTCTCAACCATCAGTGAAAGGGAGTTCTTCTCTGCTCCTTCACCGAAACTACAATTTCCCAGGTAATCATTCAAGATGACATATATAGTCTCACCTAATCTTACTTCTGGGCTCTTTCTTTGGTTTCCCCTATTTCTCTGGAGGGGGTCTTCTAAGTTTGGGGTTTGTCCTTGTCCTCCTGTGGCCTCTATCCACTTCAACTGTCACTATGCTCTCTGGCAATTTCACCCACACCTGTAACTTCAATTATTATCTATATACTAATGACTAGACACTGGACTGGTTCAGAAGCACATTAAATCTCACTCAAGACCACGGCATGGCTGCCTATTATTCTTTTGATACTAGCTTCATTTTGCTACCAAGTAAATCTTAATATGTCTCACTATATTTTTTTTTACCCCACATACTTTCTCACCCTCCCACGTAATTACTTCATGTCCTCTCTTCTCAAATCTTTAGTGCCATCTCAAGCCTCACTCTCAACTGATGTCCTTGTATCACAGGGAAAGTAAAGCATTTTGGGGGTATTAACAAACTTCTACCACATTTACCCACCTTCCTTCATCTGTGTCTAAATATTCTATCTTCTTGCCTGTGGTCAAGGATGAATGGTCTCTGCTCCTAGCACTTAAGTCTGATGAAAGTTTTACCTCCCCTCTCCAACTCTGTTCCTTCCTTCTCCTGCACCTCCTCCTTTCATCTCTACTGGATCTTTTCATCAGTAGACAAACTGCTATTTCTCCTTTCTTATAGAAAGTCTTTAATCGATCCCTTATACCTCTAAATTCATCTTTCTTTTTATCAGGAAACTTGAGTGTCAAAACCATATGCTCAATTTGTCTTCTTGAATCCATTCTCACTGCTCTTATCAAGGTCACCAATGATTTTGCATTGCTAAATCCAGTGAGTCTTCTCTCTATCCAACCTCACCCAGTACACCTGGCAGAGTTTGGTTTCACTCTTCTTTAAGTTACTTTCTTCACTTGGCTTCCATGGTAGCACATTCCCCTGGCTTCCTCCTCCCTTTCAGGCAGTTACCAGTTGCCGGTTCCTCCTCCCTTTGCTGCTGTCTAAACACTGGAGTCTCTAGAGCTCTGTCCTTAGCCCTCTTGCTGTGCTACCTCACTTCCTTGTGATCCATCTTCTCAATACAGCTTGGCTATAAGTCCAATTTATATGCTGACTCCCTAATTCATGGGTCCAGTTAGGTCCCTTCTCTTGAACTCCACATTTGTATAGCCAACGACCTATCTAACACAGCTCTACGAGATGTCTAATAAGTACCGCATACTTAACAGGTCTAACAGTGAGTTCCCATTATTATCCCCTCCTATAGTCTTCTGACATCGCCAATGGCAGTCTTCTGGTGCAGAGGGCTGAAAATAGCACTCATTCTCTCTCTAAAACAGCACATCTAGCAGCCTGATTTGATTTGATGCATTCACCTCCAAATCATCCACACTCTGATCACCACTATCCCTTGCCCAGACTATTGCAATTATTTCTTAATTATGCCTCTGCAAAACTTGTCCATTAACGTTATTCTCAACACAACAGCTGGAGAAAGTCAAACATTACTCATCTGCTTGAAACCTTCTAGTAGCTTCCCATCTATGATTAATAGTCAAAGTCACTTCAATTCCTGGCAAGGTCCTCATTTTGATCGTCCCCCTCACTAGCATGTAAACTCCACAGGGATAGGAATGTTTCCAGTGCTTAGCACACAGTACTCACTCCAATACTGGATCAATTACCGTTTGGTGAATGAATGACCTTCTCTTCAGCAATTCTGCTGCCTATATGTAAACTAGTCAATGGCATGAAAGGGTCCTTGCAATCTCATCTCCACCCACAACCTGCACAGCCTTACATGCTAATCCCACTGCTAAGGGAAGAGGTTGTGATGCGCCCTTATGTATATTTGATGTATGTCACTTCACTATCTTCCTAGGGTGAATCTCTTCAGTTCACACTGTCCTGTGAATGATACCTCTAAGGTAACACTTACACACACACTGGATGTGAATGCTTAGTTGTTATGTCTGTGTCCTCCAGATTACTGGCTTTACTCATGCAGCTTAAGCACTTCTTCGTGCTAGATGCACAAAGGACACAAAGATGAAAAGAGAAATGTATTGAATAGCCACAGTGCCACAAGCCCTTTGCATATATTTTATTCACTCTTCATATAATCCAGCAAAGTAGGAAATAGTAATAGTTTTACAGAGGAGTAGACATGCGTTAGATTACTTATTTAACCTCTAGGTTATCTAATTTTTTATCCAGAGTCTAGTTACTGTATTAAAAACTACTTAAAATGACTTCAGAAGTTTCCCTTCCTTTTTACCTTAGCTCTTTGTGGAAAAGAACCTGGTATCTTTATTTTTCAACATACCATTCAAAATTAATAAAAACTGATGAAATACCACATGGTATGCGGTAAAAAACTAAAGACAATGTCTATTTTCAGATATTCAATCTAGAACAAACACATGTGGCTTTAAGCAAAATTTCCTGTAAAATGAGTGAAGAAATGCAATTTATTTTATAATTTGCCTTCAAATTATAAAAGTCAAAAATCCAACTCAAGTCTAAAAAACATTACTTAGCCATTAAACTGTGGCTAAGTGTGCTTTCCTGGAAGTCTTTCAGGAAAACTGGTGAGGAAAAGAAAACAGCACATAAGTCTCATTCCAAGAATCTATAAAAACTACACAAGGAGATTGCAGGTAGAATTCTTACTACAGTCAGAGAGGCGCACTTCTTACTTGTAACCTCGGAGAGCTTTATTGACCAGTTCAGAGAACTACCAGAAGTTTGCCAAGGGAATTTTTCCTAGCCAGTAGTTTTAAGCAAAATTAACCCACTCTCTTGCCCAGACTCATAATCTGAAGAGTTAAAAAGAAAACCTCCTTTTATTATTTTGGTGGGAGTTTCTTTCCAAATGCCTTGTTATTCCAGGCAATTATTTAGAAAGTAGATCTAGTATATATCACTTTTAGAGACTGAGTCTTTAAAAGAGACTGAGGGAACACAGTTGCTTTTTCCTCCATTCCTTTTTAGAGGTAGGAAGAAAAAAGGGTTGAATGTTGATTTGCTTGAACTTGAGGTAAAGAAAAAAGTTCCTTTCTTTTTTTCCACACTGCAAATAAAACCTTTCACGACTCTGAAACTTTGGGTGGTATCATGTAAACATTTTTATAAATACCAAAAGAAGGGGAAAAGCTCAGTTTCATAAAGGTAATTTCCTTAAGCAATTCTGGAATATGTGAACTTCAAATTGCCTAGAAACAACTTCACTTCTTTTATCTACTGGTTACTTCATATATTAGTGGTTTCTAAGTGCAAAATTTGTCTTCATTTGTACCTCAGTTAAATAGTGCTAGTTCTTTATTATAGGATAAACATGCTGAGGATATGAGGAGGAGTAAGAATTTCCAGCAAGCTCAACTGAACACAATCTAGCGGGAGAGAAAATACAAAAACAACAACAACAAAAAAAAACCCAAAAAAACCCCAACCACCTAGTTACGCAGAAATGCTGGAACAATATAAAGTCTTCATTACTGCAAAAACTGGGAGAAGCTAGATTTAAAAGGTGTGCTTCTTGGAGGGTGTACAGTTGAAAACCATCTTGTGAAAATACAAATCATTAGTTTACTGAAGTCAATACACAGAGGTTGAGTATTCCTCTGTTTGGTCCTGAAGATACAACAATCCAGAAACAAGATTTAGTAAGTGCCTTCATGGATTTCCAGGCAGGCACTGGAGATCTGATCTTGACAAGCATGAGTGTCTATAGGTATTGGGAAACAAAAAGCATATAGCCCTGTGAACAAGAGCAGCAACTTCATCTACACTCTGCCTCTACCACCACCTCAGAGGCCATAACTTGTGCTTATCAGGCACAGTAAACACAGAATTTTTTTAAATGAAAGGGCCCACAGAGGTGATCAGATTCCACTAGTAATGTTGCAACTGGGAAAACTAAGTCCCCAGGCAGATGAATGGCTTCCTTGAGGTGACAGTTTGTTATGCAATGGGGTGTAAAGAACAGTTGTGACTTTTTAAGGAAACTCAAAGGACTAAAAGTATACTCCCTCCCACAGTTCAAATACTACCAGGGTCAAGGCAAGAGAACAGAGGATAATGCTCTGGTTCTGCAACCTCACCCCCATCCATCTTGACCAGCCATAGCATGATGGATTTAACTGCTAAGGGCTTCCACAGCACCCCAAACATCCCTTCATAACACAAGTATTGCTTGTAACTCTTGATTAACAGTTGTGTCTGCAGTGACAATTGAAGGCAGAAAAGGAATTATGAGACCAAATGAGAGGCTATTCCAGGTGTCAGTGATGGAGACAAAAGAAGCAGATGGATTAGAGTTTCAAAAGGCAGAACACTCACAGGACCTAACAATTGATTTATGGAAAGAATAGAGGGTGAGCCAAGCTAGCAAAGGGGCAGGCCATCAGCTTCTCATCTGAATACCTGGCAGATGGTGGTGTGAGATACAGCAAATTGACAGTGGTGGAAGAGGTATGTGTGGCAAGAAGGTAACAGTATATGATAAGGATATATCTATTGGGGTGACTTCTACTTAAGCCAGAAGCCAAATTTCACTAGCTCTTCAAATATGACAATGGAGTTTGTGAGAATGGAGTTATCAGCTGATATCTTAAAAGAATACCTACTTAACAATATAACAGAGGAGAAAATAATAATAATAATAATGAACAACTATATACCAGAGACATTTTATGGGGGTGAAGTGGGGAATGGGATCAAAAACGGAGGGTGGAGGGAAATGCACTAGACTATGGTGATGGCACATGGCTGATTTGGTGATGGGAAGCCCACGGAGATTACAATGAGATAGAAAAAGGCACAAAATGATGTAAAAATTATATATATTTTTAAATTTAATAAAAACTACTTAAACTGTAATTTTGTTTATAATTTATAATTCACATGCTGTTTCTCTTAAAATAAAAAGTGGGACATACGGTGGAAATGGCGGATAACTAACTATAGCATTAAATGCTAGTTAATATTTGATTTTATTGCTTCAAAGTGAATGCAGAATAGACAGAATTTAAGACCATAGTTTCCAAGGAAAAACAGGTAAAGGAAAGGAAACACTTCCAGGTGAGATCCGTAGGTAGAATGAAGTTTAGCAGCTAACTTTGAGACTTTCTGACACTTGTATCAACCCGTTGTGAACAACTACCTGAACTGAAGCTTTTGTATTTCAAACATTCTTCCCCCCACCACAACACATTTCAAAACAGTTAGGATTCCAATCACACGTGTGCTCCTCTTATTTCAGTTTCTCCTAATAACCAGAACCTACAAAGTACCCAAAACACGGCTAATGAGTTTGCTGAACTGAAGCAGCTCATTCAATTTCTCATTCTTGCTACATTTATTTTTTAAACCAGGGAGTGAATGGAGCCTCAAAGCATTTTTCTCAAGCTGAGAGTCTAAAACTGTCGCTTTGACAAAGGATTCTTCAGCCCAAATTCATGATATCTGCACCAGGGAGGAATGAGAAGGAAACAGTGGAGCACCAAACCCCAATCTGTTGTTATGACAAATTGTAGAGTCATCCCATTACACATCTTTAAGTTGGGAAAAACACGAAGCAAACGGAGGAACAGATGGTGCGGACAGTTTCAGGAAGGACCTGTGGAAGCGGAGCTCAAACCGGCTGGATCTCACGCTCTCGCTCCGGGCCCTCCCGGGCTCGCCCCAGGGCACTTCCCCGGCATGCGGTTGCCAGTCCGAGGAGAGCGCTGCCCCCACGCCCACACCCTCCCCGACGCCTCCAAGCCCACTTTTCCCTCTCCTCACGGCCTGGGACACCCCGGGCCCAGACTCGCCCACTCCCCAAACCTCGGCTCCCGCTCCCGCCTTTACCGCTCCTCGACTGGCGTCGCGCGCTCCGCTTCGCACCTCGCTCCAGCGGCCGTCGCCTCCTCCCACTCGCACCGCTACTGGCGCCCCGCCGGCCTCGCTTCAGCCGCCACTTCCCCGCCCCCGCCGCCCGTCCGCACCAATCAGCGCCCGGGTAGCAGTCCGACCAATCGTCAGCCCGCCGCCATCAATCCTTCCGCGAGCGCCCGGGGCGACGGGGCTGCCGCGGGCTGATCCCCAATTACCCGGATGGAATTCAAAGCCGACTCACCCCGTCAGCCAATAGGATCCAGGGATAGACCCCAGGGCTCCTGGAGATCGCACCTGCCGAGAATTAAACAGCCAATTAGAGGCTTAACCGAGCCCCCGCCTCCCCGAGCCCCCTTCTGCGCCAATTATCGGGAAACCCGAGGTCCCTGCTCCGCGGGCGGGGGGAAGCGGCGCTCCGGGGCCGGAGCCCTGGGGCGAGGGGGTGGCTTCCCTGGCCGCGTCACCTCTCGCACGTTGCTGCGTTTGTACGCAGCCGGTGCTACCCCGCAGCCCAGCGACGGTGGGAGAGCAGCCGCGTGGCGGGGGACGCTCGGGCACCGTCTCTACGGCCTCGCGTGGACTCGACCGGCGCCCGCGTGATAAGCGCTCAGGAGACTTGGAAACATTTTCTAAAAAACATACAAAAGGCTTCGTAGCGGTGGAGAGGCGGTCCTGGGGAAGGAACTGCACGGCAGAGCTTGTTTCTCTGCCGAGGCGCAGACGAGGCGGGCAGCCGGAAGGACTGAGGGACCCGCGGTCCGCGCGCCCGGGGTAAGGGAGCTGCGCGATGCTTGGGGAGGGAGGGTTGGGCGCTTGGCGCGTCCAGGGCCGCGGCCGTGCGGGCTGGGAAGGTTTCTGCGGGCGGCGGTTTGCTTTGGAAGAGCGCATTCTAGCCGCTCCAGGTCCCTGGACCGTTGGGGACGGTTGGGCCCTGCCTGCGCCGCTGCGCCCCTGGCCCGCGCCCCTCCCTGCCCCCCTTCGCTGCCCAGCGCCTGGGTTCCTGGGGACTCCGACTCGGGCGCTCAGTGTAAGGTGGAAATCTTTCGCTTTTGCTTCGATCATGAAGTCTGGCACCAGATCTGCGTTCAGTGGATGTTTGTTGAGTGAATGCAAGATTGTATCTTTGGTCAACTCGGAGATGTCTCTGGGCCTCAGTTTTTCGTAGTATTTTTTAAGTTTATATTAAGTTAGTTGATTAAAAATTTGTACGTAGAAAGTGCCTGTTTTGAATAATTAATACCCATTCCACAAAATTGAAAAGGAATAGGTTATTACAGGGAACAAGTCTCTTCCCTCAGAGGTTATCAGTTTATTACATACATTGTGAATTTTCACATATTCCATAATGTACAGACATTTGGTGTATATTTCTCAGTGGACGACATATATATATATATATATATATACATATATATATATACATGTTTGGCAGTTTCCCTTATTATCTAGATCTACAGCAGAACATTATGTATCTACTTCATAGTAAGTTTCATAGTAAGTTTGAAAGGCTGCAGGTTTCATAGTTAAGTTGAAAGGTGCAAGCAGTCCTTTAATATATTTGATACCTAAATATTTTTTTTAACATTTATTTATGCATACAGAACTGGGGTACAGGCCAGAGGTGCAGGAGTGGTGAGAGGATTCACTAGAGGCAGAGTGGGAGCAGAACAGGCAGATCAATAAAGTACACTGCTGAGGGGAGCAGTGGGTAGGTCAGGCAGGAGAGGTCTGCTGCACCATGTGGGTCACCTCCCTGGCTGGAGATGGAATTAGGTGGCTGAGCTTCAAGGTGCTGAGCTTTAACCCTTGAGACACCAGCGAGGGACCCCAAATATATTTCAATTGGCCTTTGCATGACTGTATAGAAGTACTTAGGACTGTAAATACTCTGACAAAAGTGCGCTTAAAAGAAATTGAATAGATAACTTTTCAAATTCTCTTCATTCTGTCAGCAAGGTTTGAGAAAGATTTTGGTTAAGTACAGTTCTTGGTAATTGCCTTCCTCTGAAACTTTGCCATTTTCTTTCCCATCAGCAATGTATGAAAAGGACCTAATTGATAATACTTATAATACAGTGTTATCAAGCCTTTTTGTTTTCTTGGTTTAGATTGAAAATAAAATTTTCATTGATCGCATATCTGTGTGTGTTTGAGCTTCTTTTAATGTTTAAGCAGCAATTTTAGTTTATTTTGTAAATTTTTATAAACTATCCAGATTTTTATTATTAGTTATTTTCTTAATGCTTGCTCTTTGTATGTACGTTAAAAATGTTTTCCTTTTCCCAGCTTGTCCTGTCATTGTTTTTATTTTTTTCAAATGCAAATAATTCTATGTAGTTGAATTTGTCAGCATTTTCTTCCATAACCTCAGGGTTTCATAACATATTTGTAACACCCTCCCACCACAACATTATTAAATTGTGCCCCTATACTTAAATTTGTTATGGTGTTTTATATGTAAATATTTGCTTCACCTGGAGTTTGTTTTGGTGGAAAGTTCTGAGATAGAGACCCAACTTTTTTGTTTGTTTGCTTTACCCAACTTTGAATTGCCCGTATTTTTTCTTTTCCACCGTTTTATGGCCCCAATTGTTATAAAGTGGATTTGTTTCTGGATTTTTCTGTTCCGTTGATCTCTCTGCTCATGTTCATTACAATGTCGTACTGTTTTTTTTAATTGATGTATATTGTGTTATTTTTTACCACAATTTAAAAACATTGTGTGGCATACATATAGAAAAGTGCGTAAATGAAAAATACACATTTTGAATTTTCAGAAGTGGAGTCCATTTGTGTAACCAACACCCAAATATGGAACTAGAACATTGCCGACCGCCCTGTGTCCTCCCCAGTCTGGCTCCCATGCAGGGTACCCACACTTCTAACTCCCAGTAACAGGAACTAGTTTTGTCTGTTTTTGTTTTTCATATAAAGAGAATTGCATGGTTTGTATACTACTACTGTGTTTGGCTTCTTTTGTTTAAAATTATTTCTGTAAGATTCTGTCATTGTGTATACTTTTTATAAACAATTAAGTTTAAATTGAGGTAACATTGGCTTACATTATTGATATTTTGAAAGTAGTAGGGTCCCCCTCTCAGGTACTGCTACCATAGTGCACAGGCCACCGAATATTCACCCATAGTCCTCTACCATGGAGTTGGGTGTAGTTTTAGTCCATCCGTTCTCATTATTGTGTAGTAGTACATTGTGAAGTATACCACAATTTTTAGATCACCGAAAGGAAAATTGGTGTATTTATTACATAGAGTCGCCCTGCAGACACATTTACGTCACTGATGTCCCATCTAGCTTTTTAAAAGGTAGAATTCACATATTGTTTAGTATAATTCCTAGTTATTTTTGTGCCTAGATTGGCATAGCTGTTTTTACTTTTAAAAGGGTAACAGTAGTTCAGACCCAAGGAGAATGTCCATTATTATTGTAAAAAGCTCAGGCCCACTTTATGGGCCTATCATCTTCCAGCTCCCAGAGGAGGTGCTTGGCAAAAAAGAAGAAATAAAGAATCCAAAGGGAAGAATTAGAAATTAAAAGTTAAATTACAGGAGCAAGCTCTCAATCAAGAGCAGTGAAAAGCCAGGTGTAATCACTTTTCCTGGAAAATTTTGGAGAGTTGGCTTCTAATTGACTGGGGAGGGAGGTTGGGGAGCAGAAGGGGTAACTTAAGGTGTGATGATTGCACACTCTCAAGTTGCTGTGTAATTGGGCTTTGTCATCTCCTTCCCCATCTAAGAACTTAAGCCAGGATTGAAAGCTTAGATTTTGACAGGCAAAGGTTGGGTGAATTATAATCTCTTCATTCTCGTTTCTGAAGAGTTCATTCATTCTCTTTTTCTTCAAGAGTGTTCTAACAGGTGCAGATGGCAGCAGGTGGAGCTAGGTAGGGTATGCCCAGAATTCAGTGGGCAGGTGTTTGTGCTCAATAAGCCAAAGCAGGGAAGTAGACTTTAGCTAGAAGGCTGGGCAATGAGAGGTTCTCGGTCCAGGTAAGCCTGCTTCAGACTTGGCTGCTCACAGCTCCCTCTTGGACCACATGCCTATTATCAAAGTTTTTCTCCTTTACCTATTGTAGAAGTCACACCTTCTTCCTTATGGCTCCTGACCAGAAACCAGCAACAGGGAGCATGGGCCTTAGTATCAGAAATTAAACTGGTCCTGCTTTTTAGTCCTTAGGTCAAATTAATGAATTGTGACAGGGTCTTAGGAGAGAGATTCTCTTCAGCCTCTCTGGGCCTCTCAGTCTTCTACTTGCTTCCTTTTGCAGAGCAATTTGGAGGCAGAAAACTTGGCGTCCCTGGCTGCAGGTGCTCTTCAGCCTGAATCACCACCACATACACTTCTTAGAGCCAGAGTCCCACCCAGAGTTTCCTGCCTGTCCTTGAGAGATGGATGTTGGTGGGGAAAGGGGACCGGGGAGGAGAGAAACTAGAGGCCCATAGCGTATTTTCTTTTTTTAAGATATATTTTTCTTTACGCATACAAGAACTGGAGTGGAGGCTATAAGTGAGAGGGATGAGAGGATTCACTAGAGACAGAGTGGGGAGCAGAAGAGGTGGATCTTCTGAAATACACCGCTGAGCAGAGCCACAGGAGAGAGGAGAGGTCTGCTATGACATGTAAGTCAGCTCCCTGGCTGGGAATCAAGCTGGGGCTGCAGTGGCTCCTGCTAGCCTGATAGCGCTGAGACTTTTAACCTCTGTGCCACCAGGGAGGCACCATAGCGTGTTTTCTTACAGGCTCAGCCTAACATCTGCTCTTACCTGGGCTAAAAACATGCTTCATACCAAAGCCCTTCCCAGCCCTTTCTTGTCCCTCAGGGACCCTGGGGAGCACAGAAGCCTTATGTCAGATTTCTCCTGCCAACTGGGGTTTCTCACAGCTTTCCATGGAATTTGTGATGGTGGCAGAATGACTGCAGTTGATGTATAAACACTTGTTCATAGCTTGTACCATCTATTCCCAGAGGGTTCTGTGCTCAAAAAACAAAAATTGTTGAGGATCATTATCTTGGCTTTTGTCCCTTGAATTAGGGATCCAAACCAGCAAAGAAAATAGAGAAATTAAAAAAAAAATCCAGAAAGCAAAATAAGGAAATAGAGACATTAGAGAAACAATCTGTTAGGAACCAAAATGAGAAGTGCTGAAATGGTGCCAGAGTACTTCTGAGTCCAAACTTCTTTCAACTTGGGTGAGACCAGGTCTGAAATGAAAGAAAAGGACCTAGGAATCTGAAGCTTCCATTTTTAATCAAGAGATTCTGTTGCTGGCAGCCAGGCATTTCAGTTCTGTCCATCTGATCCCTATAATTTCTGTTTTCTGATCCCCAGAATTTCTGGTCCCTTGGTTAGAGGTGTGAGGACAGCAGGACAGGGGACAGAGAAGATGGGGTAAAATTCAACCAACCCCCTATCCCCCCAGGAAGTTGAGGAACAACTGATCCCTTTCTCCCTAAAGATTGGTGGGGTAGGGGTGGGTGGAAGACCAGCCTGGATTTGTCTTTTCTCTCAGGACCTACACCTGAGAGGCCAGGGGAGAGGTTCATGAGAGCAGGCAGTGAATCGAGCCAGAGGGCATATGAGAGACATCGAGTTTTGAGTGAGACAGCCCTGAGTTTGAGTGCAGACCTTTACTAACTAGCGTTTGAGCCAGTTGTCTATTTGACACGTGTCAAATTAGTTCTGTCAAATTAGTTCCATTAGCTAAGATGCCGTGTCTTCTCTAAAGCCACTGATGTAGAAGAGGCCCTCAGTAGACATTGATTTTCTTCTCTTTCCACTGGTGTTCCACCCTGGACGAACCTCTGACTGTCTCCATGATGTGAGACCATAATACTCCTGTACCTGCGCACACACTACCTGTTCACGCCCACCCTGGTTGTATTCACAAACCAAGACGTCTACACCTGTAGTGACTCACTTGAGCTAAAGGAGGTTTTCTCAGACAGGTGAAGGGACTGGCTGGCTAGTGACCAAAGGAGCTGTGGAAGGGCTTAGTACTGTAGCTGGCATGACCCGAGAAGGTACTCTGAGGAAGTTGTGTAAGGAGAAGGAGGAGAGGTGGTAGAGGGTACTGCGCAGCATTTCCCCTGGGCTGAATGTGCTTCTGAGGGGATCCTTTGCCAACAAGGCCCCAGTTCAGGGTTGTAGTATCTGGGATGTGATGTCCACTGGCCATGTGTGAGCCACTGCTGAGCACTTGAAAAGTGGCTGGTGACACCGAGGAATGGACTTCTGAATGTATTTAATTTTAATTTAGGGCCTCCATGGTGGCCTAAGGGTTATGACTCTGCACTATCACTGCTAAGGCCCGAGTTCGATCCCCGCCCCGGAGCTGGCCCACATATGGCACAGCAGACCTCTCTGTCTTGCCCGCACCCACCTCAGCAGAGCGTTTCAGTAGAGGTGCCTGTGATTCTCCCCACTCTTGTCTCTGGTGAGTCCTCTCATTCCCAGCACCTATGGCCTATATACCAGTTCTTCTACACAAAATAAATAAAAACTTTAAAATATATATATATCTTAAGTTTTAAGGGTTTTTTTTATACAACAGTTTATTTTTACATTATGTTGTATCTTTTTCCATCTCAGTTGTAATCCCCGTGGGCTTCCCATCACCAAATCACCCGTGTGCCATCACCATAGTCCTGTGCACTTCCCTCTCCCACATCCCCCATTTTTGATCCCATTTCCTAACTCTACCCCCATAAAATGTCTCTGGTATATAGCTGTTCATTATTATTATTATTTTCTCGCCTGGTCCATTATACTCCTGCAATGAGTGAAACCATTCAGTATTTTTCCTTTTTTTTCTTATTTCACTAAGCATGATCTTTTCCAGCTCCATCCATATTGCTGCAAAAAGCATGTGTTTCTTTTTTTTTTTTTTTGGTTGCTGAGTAATATTCCATTGTGTATATGTACCACATCTTTTTAATCCAGTCATCCACTTTTGGGCATTTGGGTTGTTTCCATGTCTTTCCAATTGTAAATAAAGCAGCAATAAACATGGGGGTGCAGGTGTCTTTTTGAATCTTATGTTCTTGTGTCTTTTGGGTAGATACCTAGGAGTGGGATTGCTGGGTCGTATGGAAGCTCCATTTAAAAAATATTTTCAATTAAAGGTTAAAATCCATTCTTGATTTAGTTATTGGAAACTTTTACTATGTTTGGAACAACTTGGATGTGTGAATATACTTTTTCCTCTGTGGGTTTTGTGAAACTCAGATAAATACAGATCATATATTTATGTTGAAATGTTAGTGATTGAATTGAGATGTACTGTAAATATAAACACTGAATTTCAAAGAACTAAATGAGAAAAAAATTACTAATTTTTATATTAATACTGAAATGATAATAGTTTGGGTACACTGGTTTAAATAAAAGATAATGTCCAAATTAATTGTATCTGTTTTTGTGCCTTTTTAATGCAGTACTAAAAATTGTTAAATCTATGTGACTGGCATTCTGTGTCTGTTGGGCAGTGCTGCTCTGGAGGCTTTGAAATTCAGGCAGCATCAGCTCCCACTCCAGGATGGCATCTGTTTCTTCCTGCCTCCAGGGGCTTCCCAGAGATTTCTCTAAACAACTAGGCTGCTTTTGCCCTCTCCTGTGTTGCAGAACAACTAGAACAAGAACCTCTAGCACCTGACCATCTAATAAACTGTTGGGGAGTCTTTGGAGAGGTGGGGAGGCTCTGTTCCCTGGGAAACCTTTCTGGGGCTAATAAACTGGGTAGGGAGCTTGCTGGGATGCTATAGAACTGTTTGTGCATAGTGGGGAACAGGGCTGGAGACATGAGGATTTGATACCCATTTCTCAGGATTGTGGGAGCCTCATTCTCTAAACTGCGGGGCTCTCACATTCATGTCTGGCCCCACCGCTTATTTCCACCTTAGCCCCACTGAAGATCTTGCCTGCCTGTGAGGTCTGGGTGCATCCTCCATAGCTCCTGTCATATGTCAGAAGCAGCTTTGGCTGAGAAATTTCTGATGAGCGGAGCTTCAGAGCAAGGAAACAGGCAGGAATCCACTAGGAAGCTTAGGAAGCTTGCATATTGTTGTGTGGAGGGTGGGTGGGGGCTCTTGAAGGTGGAGGGGAACTAAGGACACTGGGCAGATGCTGCTGCAGAGAGAGAGAGAGAGGCACCCGAGGCTCCAGCCACGTGATTCTCCCGGTTCTCCATCCCTCCTCCCAGCTCCTTCCCGCTCCTTCCCTCCCCTTCACTCCTCCCCTTCCGACGATGCTGAGGCTGCTGCTGGTCCCTTGAGCTGTCAGCGTCTCTACTTTTTTTGGCTCTGCTTTGCCCTCTATTTGAAGCAAACTCAGAGGCAGCTGGCACCTCCTCCTCCAGCTTTGCCCCGGCATCTGGGGTCTCTGTAACATGGTGACCTCTGTCCACAGACAGTTGTCCATGGGGATAGTACTAAACACAGAAGGAGGGGAAGCTGTGGAAGGGGAGTGGAAATTCACTGGGCTGGCAGTCCTGGCTGCTCCCTCTGCCCTCCACTTTTCACCCCAGCACGCAGTGCCCTCCTCCCCCATTCCTGCAAGCCTACTCCTGCTGTGTCCCAGGTCTCTCTCCTTTGACAACTGCAGTCTTGCTTTGGTTGGTCATTTTCTGCTTTCCCTCAAGGGCACTAGAGACCTGTGGTGGGGAGAAATGAGAAAGAAGGGAAGGAGCGAGGTGTCTGAAGTTGGAATTTGGCAGTGATGCCATGGAAGGCAGAGGATCTCATCTTCCCAGCCCCAGATGGAGCTGCTCTCTGCAGCGCCCCTTAGACCCCCAGACCTCCTTTGGCATAACCCCCTGCTTGGTAGGCCATGCTAGATTTAGGCGAGGTCACTGGAACACGGGTTAGTGCAGATGAAAAGGGTAGGAAGGAGGAAGTTGTGGTAGAACTGAGGCCAGACACACTGATTTGAAGAAAACTGCAGAGATCATGTTTAGTTTTGGCTGCTACTCTCGTGGTCTTTGGCAGCAGGTTTAATGATATGACAGAGGCAGGTGGTGGAGGTTCATGCAGACAAGTGCCAGTGAGTAGCCAGTCCTCCCCACCCCACCCTCCAATCCTCTTCTTAACCTGAGATTCTTGACCTGAGCCCTGTGCTTGGGAGCAGGAAAGAGGGAAGACTCCAAGAAGCAAATGGCACTTCCCAGGCCCACCCGCAAACTAAGCTGTGCCTGGCAGTTGGTGTAGGTTATCGATGGGTGTAAGTGAGAATTAGCAGACTGCAGCCTTGGTTACGCTTCTTGCTTTGGAGGATGGCGGGCCTCACTACAGGGTCTGCATCTTCAGCTCCCTGAGACCCCCCAGGGCAAAGATGGCAATGTCATCCTCACACTGGAAAGCACGGAGGCATCATTAGCTGCTGGCATGATGCAGGCAGGAGTCTGGGAGGTCTGAGTGGCTTGGAACTAGGTTCTGATGCCGGTGGCCTTGGTTTTCTCCCCTTTGGTATCTGAAGCTGGGCTTGGCTGGGTCCCCAGTGTGGAAGGAAAGGTCAGAAGAGCTTAGCAGTGACCCGGTTACTCCCCGAGTTCTTGTCCCCCGAGGGCCGGGGTGCCACAAAGTCAAAGGTCATGTGATGTTTGACCCGGCCTTTGCCCTTGCTCCAGAGGGCAATGAGGCCGAAACAGAGGGTCACTGAGGTGAGAAAGGGCAGGAAGCCGACGGCTAGCACCATGGCTACGCCTCTGCTATCCAGGAAGAAAGGCCCTGGGATCCCCGGCATGGTGATATTGGGGTCAGAGAGAGTGCCATTTGGGGGTTCCACCTGAATTACTTCTAGCCAGGTCCTCAGGGAGTCGTTCCCAGCAACGTTACTGACCACACAGACATAGGCGCCCCGGTCCCGCAACTGCACTGAGCGAATCTCCAGCGTCCCGTCCTCCAGGACCCTCACTCTCCCAGCCCTGCCCAGCCAGGCCCCCCGAGGCCTCATCCACGAGACAGTGGGAGCTGGGTCTCCATCTCCAGAGCAGAAAAAGACAGCCTGCCCCCCCTCCTCTGCAACCACCCATCGTGGTCCTGACTTTCGAATCAGGGCTGGTTGGCAAGTGAAGTGCCCTGGGGGTAGGATGTCTGAAAACTCCCTCAGACTCTTGCCCTGGACATGCTGGGGGCCCGCGCAGGCAGGGGGGGACGTGCCAAAGTCCAGGCGGCGGCGGAGCCGGAGCAGCCAGAGGAGGCGGCAGTCACAGTTCAGAGGGTTGCCGGACAGCCTCAGGGTGACCAGTTTGTCTGGGGAAGGGAAGGCTGTTTCCTCGAGGGTCTGAAGGGCGTTGTCCGCCACGTCCAGGAGGTGGAAGGCAGTCAAGCCATGGAAGGCGTGAGCGGCAATGGAGGTGAGGCAGGCCCCCGACAGCCGCAGTTCCTGGAGCCGCACCAGGGGACTGAGCCTTCGGGCAGGGATGGCCGAGATGGGGTTCTGAGAGAGATCCAGGACCCTGAGGAAGCTCAGGTGGTGCAGTGCTTGGAAGGGCACTGAACTGAGATTGCAGCGGGTGATGGCCAGACTGCTGAGATTGAGCCCGACTAGGCTCCCAGGCTCCAGAGCCTCCAGAGCTGGCCAGTGGTGGATCTCCAACTCCTTTAGCTGCCCCAGCCCCCGCAGAGCCCCCGCCGGCAGCCTCCCGATGTCCAGTTCTCGAAGCCTTAGGGCCACGAGCCCTGGGAGACGAGCCAGGGCCAGGCTGGGCACCATGCTCAGGTTGCAGCGCTCCAGGGTGAGGGTGCTCAGCTTGGTCAGCCCAGCGAAGGCCCCCGGAGCCACAAACACCAGGTGGTTGTCCCCAACCTCTAGCTGCTGGAGGCTGCCCAGGTCCCCAAAAGCTCCGTCAAGGAAGAGGACGATCTGATTGAGGCGGAGGTCCAGCAGCGTGAGGGCAGACAGGCCTGAGAAGACCCCAGGCCCCATGATTCGCAGCCGATTACCTTGCAGCCTCAGGGTGAGCAGGCTCTGTAGGCCCAGGAAGGCCCCGGGCTCGAGGCTGGAGAGCTGGTTGTAGCTGAGGTCCAATTCCTGGAGCAGGCCCAGACGGGAGAGCATCCCCCGCTGCAGCCCCCACAAGCGGTTCCCACTCAGGTCCAGGAGCTCAGTGTCCAGAGGGAGTCCCGCGGGCACCACCTCCAGTCGCCGGTGGGCACAAAGCACAGCCCGGGGCTGGGAGGCACAGTCGCACACAGCAGGGCAGCCGGCACTGCTCCCACCCAGCAGGAGGAGCAGTAGCAGGAGGGCGCCCCAGGGGGGCCAGACCAGCCTTGGAGCTGTGGCTGCAGCCATTCCCGCTTCAGTCCTGGAACAGATGTGACAGGACGCTTTCTGGCAAGTGACTACATGCTAGTGACCCCCAGCTTCCCTGGGCCTGCCTAGAGGAGGGAGAGACTGGACTGTCCATCTCAGCAAGTTGAGGGCAGTCCACCCCGCCCCCCGGGCCTCCTGGGCTCCTCTGGGGGGGCTCTACTTTCCTTACCCACCCAGCCCTTGGGTAACAGGCCAAGTACATACCAGCTCACGGGACCCTAATCAGGCCTAATTCGATGGGGAAAGTTTTAGGGGAATGGGCCGCAGGGAAGTAACATCGAGTCTCCTATAGTTGGTTCCTCTCACATCTGGGAGACTCGGGGGCACCCCTTGTTCTTCCTCCCCGCCATCTGCCCTCCCCACACTCTGTGCTTTCCCTCTCTGCCCACCCTGGCTTTCCATGGCTTAATCTAAGACTTGGGGTCATATTCTTACATCCTGAGTGGAGAGAGGCCTCCCCCTGATTAAGTCATCCAAGGCTGGGAAACAGGCAGAACTCAGCTTGGCCCCCCCCCCACCGCCCCCCCTTTCCTGTCATTCTGCCCTGCTCATCCTGGCCCAGAGCCTGAGGCCCAGTCTAGCATGACCCAGTGTCCAGAATGCCCATGTGGACAGCAGCCGAGTGCACCATGGCACAAGAGGCAGGGGGCACTCAGATTCCTCATGAGAACCCCAAGAGCTCCCCCTTCTTCCCTATGGACAACATTGGGGTGTATGAGGGACCCCATAGCACCTAAAGATTGAGTTTTGTTTTTTGGTTCTCGGTCTGAGGGTGCTCATAGCCTTCTTTAAGGATATGTTTTGAATCAAGTCCAGGGTGTGAATCTGAGGGAGAGCTCTTGTCCCCACTGAACTCTACTCTCTTGAGCCAGACACAAGAGACAGGCTGTGAGCCAGGGGGGCAGAGCTCATGAGGAGACAGCATCTGCCCAGTGGCTGAGGGTGGGGAGGGAGGGAGCCCTTGGCTGGCACAGCAGGTACAGAGCACATGGCCTGTCCACTTAGAGTGAGCTTGGGGGCCAGGAAGAAGGTGAGACTGGGGTGAGGGAGAAAGGCTCTTTTGGGCGGGAGGAGGGGGCGCAACTCTGTCCAGTGCTGATGGGGACCCCAAGGGAGGTGAGGGATGCCCAGAGAGGGGTCACGAGCCAGTGGAAGCTCTTAGGGCAGGTAACTGGGTTTCTTTCTAGCTGCACCTTTGGGCTCTTGGGCTTCGGGCTGTCTGCTGGGTCAGCTTCTTACTGCAGACCCCATCTTCTCCCACATGGAGCTCAAGGGAGGCAGTTTCAAAGGTGGTGTGATTTCTTCCCCTTCCCACCCCACTCTACACCCTGTTCTAGAAGGATCGTTGTGGTGGCTCCCCTAGAGCCACTTCAGAGGACTGTAGTAACTGAGAAGCTGCAGATCAAAGAAGCCAGAGAGTGTTGCAGGGCAGTGTGCTGAGGCTCAGGAATTGGAAAGCGCAGCACAGGGCAAAGGCCGCTCACTGTCAGTCAGTCTCATCCCCCTAACAGGTCCCATGGCATTCCCGGTGCCTGCGGTGCTCAGTGCTCGGGCAACAGTGTCCCTCCCTCCTCCCTTGGGCTCCCTGCGCCTGTCCTGGGAAGTCTGTCTGACAGCTAGCTCTTCATCACTCCCCCTGCAGTTCCTGCCGGTCCTTCTTGCTCTGCATTCAGCAAAAGTGCAGTGAAGTGTGTCACCCCGCTTCCCTCCTTCCCCCTCCTCTGAGTCTCCTCTTAGCCCCCCCCCAACTCCCCACCCCAAGCCTGCTGGGCCAGGGACTAGGGGATCTGGGGCCCACCCCTTTTATTTATAAGGCAGCTAATTTAATCACAAACTTCTCTTGCCAATCTCCATGGCTACAGGACTGGCTTCTAGCCACTTTGCAGGAAGAGATAGGTGCCAGGATCATGTCTTTCCTTAAATGGGGTAGGGTCTGTCCGGGCATCCTCCCCTCAAGGAACAGGGAGCTTTCTTTTTGTCTACACAGCAGTCCAGAGACCCTTTTGAACCTAGCTAGCCTCTTAAAGCAGCAGACGGGATTGAGGGAGTGAACCTATGTGTGGGGGAGGGGGTGGGGGGGAGGGCTTTTGGGGAAGATTTCTGGTCTATCTACATGGATTTGTGGGAGAAAGACCTTTCCTAGAGGTAGAGAGAGCCTGGGGAAATAGAGGGTGATCTCCTTTGAGCCTTTCCCGCCAGGGCACCTGGGACATCTAGTTTTCCCATCAAAGTTCTGTGCGGCCAGCATAGATGGCTGTGGGGGGCACAAGCCCCCTAGCCTAACAGGCACTCTGATCTGGCCTTGCCTGTGAGACTGATACAGAGAAGGGCAGCGATCTTCCGGGACAGGACAGGAGCCGGGGGCACTTACCGGAGAAGCTGGGGGTGGCATCAAGTTGGGCACTGCATCTGTCCAGGGTTGGGGGCCCCGTCCCATTCGAGCTGCACCTTGGGTCCCCGCACCTCCCCTGTGAGCCTCACTCCCTGCTGCCTGCCTGCCGCCAGCCGCTGCCGCTGCTGCTGTGGCTGCTGCTGCCGCTGCTGCCGCCGCCGCTGCCTCGGCCACTGCTGCCAAGACCGAGGTAGAGAAAAGAGCCAGAAAGCATTTCTCCTTTTTTTCCCCTCTCTCTCTCTCTCTTTTTAAACCAGGCGAGAATGAGTCTGCAGCAACCCTGTTGGTGCAAAATAAATAAATAAAGCAGCCAGGGAGGGCTGCAGCAGGCACCACTGGAGTGGCGAGTGATGGGGCGGAGCAGAGCCCGGGAGGGTCCCGCAGGGGAGGGGGCGGGACTGCTGCGAGGGTCTCTCCGGGGTCTCGCTTCCTCGCGCGGAGCTTTGGGGCCACGCAGCTGCCGTTGGGCTGCTTTTTCAGCACCCTAGGTGTGGGACAATGCTGTGCAGTCTCTCAATCTAAATTCCCCCCCGTGGGTATGATTTGTAGGGAAAGTTCTCGGTCTAGAACATCTGCTGTGGAGCTTCCGTTGAGATTCCTTAAGGTGGGGGTTTCTGAGCAGACCCTGAGAGAGGCTCTCCGCCTTACAATGCTGATGGGTTGCTGAGCTGGAAACCCGAGTCTCCACCCAGGAATAAGACAGGAGAACAGCCTGTAGGTAATCTTATTTAAGGTTCCCACCCCCCACCCTCTACAGGCCTCTTGTTTTTAAAAAACCATTTTATAGGGAATGGCATAAGTTGGGGTTTATTTACCCCACTAACCCCCACCCCATCACCTGCTGTTTATCCCTCAGAGGAGGGCTCACAGCTATTTATAAAGCCAAGAGAAGTTCTGGGGTAAGATCCGGCTGGAGAAGCAGGTTGCTGCCCTGTTCCTGGGCTCTTTGTTCAGGAGTCCAGGCCGTGGACAGGTGGGTTGATGGTAGCAGAGGCGGGGTGGGGGGTGTGGGGGTGGTGGTTATGCTCAGGGTCCACATCCAGAGCAGGGCGGCAGGGCTGTCCTTGATCTTCTGATTCACCAGTGTCAAGCCATCTCTGCTTCCCTTGGGGTTTCTTGTGGTGGAAGACTGCTGGGGCTGGGATAGAGTTTGGATGACCCCAGGTCTAAGATGTGTGGACCGGGGCACCTCAGAGCTGTTCTGGGGACCGTGGTTTGAGACTGAGTTCCTTTGAGTTGTGACCTCAAGGAAGAGAGAGACTGTGCCAGGTTAAATGTGTGTCTAGAACTGCAGACTCGCAGGTAGAGCCTGTATGTGTGCGTGTGTGTGTGTTTCACCTGTTTGTTGGCATGTGTCTCTGATCAGATTTGTGCTAATTAACTCTAGAAGTCTATTTTTAAAGTGCACATAGAAGGTTTGAGTTGTTTATGTCTGTGATGCTCATGGCCTTTCTTGTATCCTCTTTTATATCTAAATCTCATTTAAAAAACTAGCCTTGGCCCCTTATCCTATTCCACCCTCACCCTCCATATATCCTGTTTTTTTTTTAGGCCCTGAGAAATAGGCAGGGTGCCCACCCCCTCCCTTGCTGGAAGGAAGGGGAATGGCAGAAAAGGCAAAGGTCCAGATTCATGTTATGTACACGTCCTTTGGGCTCCAGACTCTGAGCTTGATCCATCACCCACAGCTGAAGCCCACAGGGAAATGTAATGAGGTATTTCGAAGGCCTTTTAGCTTCTGAGCCCATAGTTGAGCTTCATTCACCGGGTGTTTCCTGAACTCCCCATTGTTCTGAGGGCGCTTTGGTCCTCCTAGAGGTCCTTACAGCCCACCCCAGGCCTTCCTGAAGATGAGCAGGAGCAATGAGACAAGACAAAGCTTGGGTTGAAGATGGTGTTCCTCCACCCCCACCCTCTGGCCTTGGCCCAAGGCCAGCCAGCCTGTGGGCTGAAAACCTGGCTCAGTATTTGCTTCCAAAGAACCGGCAGGGCCACCCTCCAGGGGGCAAGGAAAGAAAGAGGCTGAGGTGGGAGAGACTCCAGGGAGGTGAGCCAGAGGGCTGAGGAATGGGAAGGAGTCTTCCTCCTGGTCACGCAGACAGCCCCTCCGGGGAGTCGATTTCTGTGCCGAAGAGCTCCTTGTAGAGAGGGGGGAAAGCAGCCTGGACCACGATGGGGTGGAGATGCTGGAAGGTTTGCAGCTTCTCCAGGTGCTGACTGCACAGGCTCCGGAGCTTCCCCTTGGGCGGCAGCTGGAGGTGGGTTAGTGGGGGAGGGTCAGTATTTCAGTTCTCTCCAGAGCAAAGACATCCTCTGTCCCTTACTTCCATGGCTAACTAAGATAGTTCTCCTTGCTTTCTCTCCATGCACTCAAGACCAACCAGCCCCCGTGGGTAGGGTAGGCATGTGTTCAGGAAACTGAGGCAAGTGAGAGCTAATATGTACTTTCTGGGCAAACCCCCAAAATTATGTTCCTGCTACTCCAAGCAGTTGAATGGATCCTGTTAAAGACTAACTCGCAATGCACGCTTTGTAACAGTGAAATTCTGACAGTGTTAACACTGTCACATGCCTCTGCCTTTGTTGGTGCTGTTCCCCTCACCTAGAATACCCTTTCCAATTCTTTCTTTGCTTGCGAAATCTTATCTTCAAATGCCACCCTTCCCTGGGAATATTTCCCTAACTGTCCCTCCCCTGTCCCCTTAAGAGTCTTCCCTTTGGACTTCTTGTGTAGCACTTAAGCGCCATTCTAGGAAATGACCTGATTTGTCTGTCTTCCCTCTCTCCACTTAAGCTTCTTAAGTTTTCTCTCTCTGTGTCTCTGTCTCCTCTGTACCTAGCATAATACTTGGCACGTGGCAGGCCGGTACCTGACACTGCAGGTAGTAAGCCAACCTGCTGACTCTCAGCCAGAGGGGGATGAAAAAGGCCTAGAGAACATGAGAGACAGAGGCAGGCACAACTCACTGAAGAAAGGCTGAGAAAACTGTTATCTTCCGAAGTTCCTGGGTAAGGAAGCGAGGCATAAAAACAACTTCACCTGCCACCACCCCTTTCTCCCCACCCTTTCCTAGGGAAGGGGAGTCCAGGAAGGATGGGCAGCATGGGGTCTCTTGCTACCTCTTGAATTCATCCTCTCATTATTCCTACTACCTCATTCATTGACAAACCACTTAGCTAGGCACAATGATGGATTCTGGTGAATATAGCACAGCCTCTACCTTTATTAAATTTACATTCTAGAGAAGGAGCCAGAAAACGAACACATATATATTCTGTCAGATAGTTTCTTTAAAGTAAACTCAACCAGGGTGAGGAGTAGAGGGTTTTTGTATGGTGTGGTCAGGGACCACCTTTCCAGAATGAAGGGATGGAATAAGCCATTTGGAAAGCTGGGGGAAAAAACCTTCCAGGCCACTGGAACAGAAGGAACAGCGCTCTGAGAAGAAACTGAGTCCTCTGTGTTGAATGAATAACAAGAAGGCCGGAGTTAATAGGTGGAGTGACAGAGAGAGTGGCCTGAGGAGGAGAGGGGAGAAGGAAGGCAGGGCCCTATCCAGAGGCTGGGCAGTGCGCAGAGCACTCTGGATTGATTCCCAGCCAGACGGACAGGTCAGAGACTAGAGGGCGGCCAAGGGCGCAGCAGGAGCCAGGTTAGGGGCCTCTCCAGCAGGTGGAATGGAAGCTAATAGCTGGAGTGGGGGTGACATGTTCTGATAGTGCATGCAACCAGAGTAGCCTGCCAGTGACTCTCCCAGCTGCTAGTCCCTCTTCCTTCCACTGTTTCTTACTAGATTTGATGCTCTTTAGGGGAGAGGTTGTTGTATAAGTCACTCCTGTACCTTTCGCTCTAGCATTGTGCCTGGCCCATTGCAAGGGAGCGTTGCTTGAATGATTACATAAATAGTTCCTGTACGCCGGCTCCAAATTAAATTGCCTAAGTAATAGCCCTGATGATATCATCCCTTTGGGGCTCCCCATTGCCTAGAAATAAAGCTTTAACTCTTTACCATGCCATTGAAAGTCCTCTCTGATGTGCTACCTGACCTGATTTTCAAGCTTGTCTCCTGCTACTCCCCTGCCCACCAGTCTATCTCCGCTGCTGATCTTACACCTCGGTCAGAATGCACGTAAGTGGGTGTCCCCACTTACGCACTATTTTGTCTCTTTATTTTTGCCCACGTCGCACCCGAAGTCTGGAGTGCCTGTCCCACCCCCATGAGTGCCTGGTAAAGTCTGACATCTTCCATGGCCTAGTTTAAATGCCGCCTTCCGTAGGGAGCATTTATGACCCACTCCTTTTACCTCTGAGTTCTTTTTTAATCCGTATCTATGCTCTCATAATACGTCCCTTAGTATCATTTATTATACTTATATATGTTATGATATATATTTCATATTATGTAGTTACATCATTATGTTTTATGTAAATATATAACTAGCCAATATATCTTAGATAAAATATATTGATATTAAGATTTTAGTATCTGTTAATATAATAAAATGTACCTATCATTAAATATCAGGAGCACAGGGACACAGTGAAAAGAATACGGGGATGAAATCTTGAATTTATCATTTGCAAATCATGTCAATGGGAGCAAGTCCTGTAAGTCTCCTGATCACTGCAGAGAAGTTTTAGCATCAGTCCTCTTGACTAAGTTGTCCTGAAGATGAAGAAGCATCTTTGCAAAAGCACTTTGTTAATTGCTTTAGTATTATATATCACATATCACATTCTGCGCTCTGTTAAAATTATTATTCCTACCAGATGCAAAACTCTTGAGGTGGACAAGGACCGCATGCCTGTATCTTTCCACCCACAGTGTCTGCTAGCAGGTGCTGGAGAAATGCTGGCTGTGTTAACTTGGGTTGTTCCCTGGAGATCCCTCCTAATTCAAGGCTCTCTCACTTTCCGTCTTTATGCACACAGAAGTGACTGGTCATTCCCTCCCTCCCCGCTGCTGTTGCAAACTCGCTAACACTACCTGGCCCTCAGCTCTACCTCCTGGAACCCTCAGACCTTGCCCTCGCCAGACCTGATGTTGCAGCTCTTGCATTGGGCCTTCCTGCTTCTGCTCCCGGACTGTCCTACCTTTGCCAGGATGCCTTGGCGGTGAGTCTTGCAGAGGTGATGATGAAAGGCCAGCTCCAGGTTGTGCTGCAGTTGTTCTACTTTGCTTTTCTCCTGAAGCCCTGGCCGGTCTGAACAAGGAGATGGGATGATTGTGAGAACTAGAAAGAACATTGACATTAATTTCCACCAAAAGGGTGTATCTTTTCTGACATCTGTGCTGGATGGAGACCTTCTCGACTGAGTGTGCGTACGTGTGTGTGTGTGTGTGTGTGTGTGTATGTGTGAGTGATGGCTTAGCTGTACACATGAAAAACTGGGAGATGATAACACAGCCCATCCTAACAATCTCCCAACTCCAAGCTGCCTTCTCCCTGGTATCCTGATATCACACACAGCCATTCAATGCTAGGACTAAGCTTTTGCTATGGAAAAAAGAAACATGAGAGGAGAGGTGGCTGATCCCCTGGCCTGAGGCAAGCTGTGGGCTCCATGGAGACATATTAGCAGCACCAGGGCCCCTGCAGCAGTCTGGGGCTAGCGTCAACATGCAAGCTACCTTCTAGTCTGGCTGTATGACATAGCTAGCCGGAAGTCATCCTTGAAGTCTTGTTTCTAGTCAAGGGAACACGTTCAGGTCTCTGCACACTGACAGAGCCAGAAGATTCATAAATCATTACCTGCAGACTCAGATTAGTGGCTTGGCCCACTTGCCTGAATTTTCTGGAAACAAAGCATTCAGCTAGCTGAGCCCAGCCCCTCCCTTCTGTGGGCTGGATATCTGAGTCCCGCCACAATGGTTGAACAATGTTGAAATCAGTTCACACAGAACAGGAATTCTCCATTGTGGGGTGGCATCTTATAGAGTGGGAGAAGGCTATCAAGAGTAACAGTGCCAAGGTGGTCCCCAGGTGTGGGGAAGTGGGGCCCAGGTGGCAATGGTCAGTGAACTGCTGGGTGACCCCACACAGTGGCATCTTTGGTGTGTGTTCATGCACAGACTGATTTGACTCAGGAGAGTAGCTCGCTCCCCTCAACATTGTGTCTCCCTCTTTCTCCAACACCCCCCCGCCCGGACTCATGTTGCTCTTTCCCCTTTGAGCTCCTCTGAACCTTTAGCTTAACTCATTTAATTTTGCAGCAATCTTTGGTGGGGCCCACTCTGCCCCTAAAAGCTACTTCCAGATTTAGTCACATCAGAAAATCCAGACACTTCAGTATCGGTTGCTTCCCTGCCACCGGCATGTCCTTTCCCCCAGCCCGGTGACACTCACTAGCATTGATGAGCACCAGGGCCGTGTAGAGGGCGATCTCATCCTCGGAAAAGTGCAAGGCGCTCAGAGAGCGGGAGAAGTCAAAGATGGAGCTGATGAGCTCACTGCAGCCTGACGAGTGGAAATGAAATACTGAGCAAAGTGGGGGAGGCCCTGCTGCCTGAGGTCACCCACCCACTGGTGTTCGGAGCTGAGGGGCTCTGAAAAGAGGGTATCCCGGGTCTAGAAGAATTGGAAGGGGTTGGCAGCCAACTCCTCTTTCTCATTCCTCCCTGCCCCTCACCCAAGGCTCGAAACAGCTCCATGCCACCGTATTTGCCTTCAAAAAAGACTGTGTGGTTGTCAGCATTGTAGGCGCGGCTCATCCTCACCAGCACCACTTCCATTGCTCCTGGCGGAGGGGAGAAAGGGCGCGGGCCCAGCGTCAGACACCGCGGAGACTCTGTCTCTGTCTCTGTCCCTCGCAGTGTCCTCATTTCCTTAAGCCGCCTCCCTCCTCTGAGTCTGCCAGGTCCACGCTCTGTCCCCTCCCTGCCCGGCCACCACCCCTCCCCGGGCACCTGCTTTGAGTAGCACGATCTGGTCGTTCTGGCAGAGCTCCATGAAGCCCGAGAGCCTCTTGGCGAACTCCACCACGTACTGAATGGCCTCGGTGAGGCGGTGGGCACAGCGTTCCCACATCTCCCACACAGACTGCCGGAGAGGAACAGGCCCCGGTAGCCCCATCATAACCCGAGCCCCTGGGCACCCAGACTGGGAGCTGCAGGGAGGGGTTCTGAACCTCACATTCTCTGCACATACACACACTCGGGGTCATGTGGGCCCCCAGTGAGCTGTTGTGAAGAGATAAAAATGTCTGTGAGGAGGCGTTGCCCACAAAGTCTGCATCTTGTGGTGAAGGGGACACACAAGCTCCCTGTTCCTCTAAGTCTCAGTAACCCAGGGAAACATAGGTTCAGCGCCTCACAAGTGCTGTTCAGCAGGTGGAGGTGTTAGAGTGAGGACGGAAGAGAGAGCAAGAGCTGGGGGCTTGTAGATGGGGGGAACCGAGGGATCTGAGTGACCTGGAGTGTCTATTAACCTTCTGAGCTCAGTTTCCCAGAGCAATACAACAGAAATAATGCCAGCTCTTAGGTTGGCTGTCATGAAGGTGGAGGGTAATTTATGTAACGCGTTCAGCACGAAGCCTGGAAAGAAGGGTTTTGAGCAAGTGGTATTCAGGCTCTTGTTGTACGGTTGGTAGAGGAGGAGGCCAGAGTGTAGCAAGGTCTGTGGTGGGCAGAAGGCCAGCCAAAAAGTCAGCAGGATGGGCTGAGGAAAAGCTTGCATCCAGCCGTGGGGTGCAGACACCACCTGCCACCCACATTTACGTGGGTCTGCTCGTGTGTCTGTCTGTCTGCGACGCCCGGCCCTGCCCCAGTCCGCTCGCATGTGCGTTCCCGGGCCCTCTGGTGGTGGGATGTCCTCCCGCCCCGCACCACCTCCGGGCCTCACCTTCCTCTGGTAGCTGGCCACCTCCTCCCGGGAGAAGATGGTGGAGCGCTGCCGAAGCAGGTCCTCCAGCCGCAGCTGACACGTCTCTCGGTAGGACTTACACACGTTCTGTACCAGGTGGTCTGGGGCCAGAGGAGCAAGGCACAGCTCCACCTCATGCAGCAACTACTCGCCCCACCCAGAGGGCACTCCTCTGCCTGGCCGCCCCTGGCTCGGCCTCCCCCAGTGCCTCTTGCCAGGGCCCCTCAGCTACTCCTGGATGTTTGGTGTATGAGGGGTGCTGGCTGAGGCCCCTCTCCAGAAGCCAGCCCCTCTCTCACCATCCCCGTCCCCTCGACCTCCCCGGATGCTCACCTATTTCTGTCAAGGAGGAATAAGGTGCCTCTGGGGTGCTGCGGAAACTGGGGCTGCAGTAGCTGTTGAGGCCCTGTCCTGGCTCCCCAAGCCCTGGATGCCTGGGGTCCTCAAAGTGAAGCCCACATCTGTCAGAGGGCAGCTGGCTGCCTGTGTGATAGAAGCTCTCTCTGCCCTCGGCCTTGCCCCGCTCAGGGCTGTATTCCAGTTGGTAGGAGGCCCGGCTGAGCCCAGCCTTGACCAAGTTGTTGGAGTAGGAGGGCCCAGAGCCAGGGGCTCTCAGGAGGCCGGGGGGGCAGGCAGAGGCCTCGGGTAGGTCAGGCGAGGAGCCCAGGGGTAGCTGCCCGTCTGGGAGCCCCAAGGTGCAGGAGATGGGGTCTGCCCCTTGACCCCCAGCAAGAGGGTTCTTGGCCGCTTGTTCCCGTTGCTGCTGCTGCTGCTGCTGCTGCTGCAGTTGTTTCTGCACTTCGGCATGCAGACTGTCCCTTTGCTTCTTGGACATGCGACCAAACTTGACAGCTGAAAAAGGTCCAGCGGTCAAGAGTTTTGACGCAGGAAGACATGGTACAGGGCAGGGTCAACTTCAGGTCTCTTGAGCATTGCAGGATTACCTTGCTGCTTCCCTGAATAACTGACTCCAGGAAGAGCCTCTTCAGTCTTGCCTGTCAGGGACTTTGGTTCCAGCCCCACCCCACCTCTCACTGTCCTGCAGGGCTCCATCCAGCCTAGTTATTTCAATCTCCCGAGCAAACTTTCTTGGCTCCAAACCTGCCTCTAATAATGCAGGATTTAAGCAACAGGCAGGCTGAGGATTCCTGCCTGCTAATGTTCGGGGCTGTGGGTGGTCGGGTGGGGGGGGCTCCAGTGGTATTGGGGTCACCTCGCCTATCTAGGAGGGTCGGAGGAAGAGGGGAGCTGAGTACACAGGTCTCCCTGTGGTCAGGCCTGCAGGCTCCCTGGTGACCTAGATACTCACCACAGCCCAACCCAGGCTCCGCGGCTTGTTTCTGAACATCCTCTTCTGCTGTCTCTTTCCTGCCTTTTCACTCCCTCCACCCCGCCACCCCTCCCAGGTGTGGGGGCACAGCCCCTCGCCCCGCCTGCCCCTCTGCACCCCTCTGTGTTTCCTTTCACTTTGTTATTTTGGGCACTGAAAAGTGCTGACAGGCTCTCCATCACCTTGTGCGTCCCCCAGGTTGGCTTGGGCACCCCCTGAGGGGGTGGGGAGAGGGGGGCTGGGGCTGTGAGGAGGTGGTGGGTGAGGAAGGTGGAAAGGAACCAGGAGCAACAGCCCTCCTCCCCCCACCCCGATGCCTTCTGCTCATTCCCAGGCCGACTCTGGTTCCGGTCCTCCCCACAGCCCCCTGCCCCGGATGGACGATGGACGTGGGGGACAAGGAAGGGAACTGAGCTAGAGCTGGAGCAAAGGCTGATGGGGGATCTGAGTGGTTCTGGGCCAGAGTGGAACAGAGCAAGGCAAACCCACCCCAAGGAAGAAGCAAATGGACAGTCTGGGACCTTGGGGGAAGCAGGCTTGTTCTGCACAGTTCGGGACTGTGCAGCGTTTCGATGGGGCACTGTGCCCCCTCGCCCCCCCCAGGTGGGCAGTAGAATACGAAGGGCTGTCAGAGGGGAAAAGGAGAACATTCCAGAAGGGTGCTTTATGGGTGAATGTGTGTCTAACACGAGCCAGGATGCCCCTCTGCCGGCTCCAGGGAACCCCCCAGGGCTGCCTGCATGGCCTCACCGTCTCGGGACATCCCCAGTGCCAGGCACTTCTGCAGGCGACAGTGCTGGCATCGGTTTCGGCTCGTGCGGTCGATGGGGCAGTTCTGCTGGCGGGTGCAGGAGTAGGCCACGTTACAGTGCTGGCTCCGACGGAAAAAACCCTGGGAGGAGTGGAAACCAAGGCTACCCATCCCGGCTGGGCCCAGTCCTGTGGTGCCTCCAACCCACCAGCTCCAGGGAAGCTCCATTGCTTTCCTGTTTCTTAGTACAATGGCAGTTATTCCCGCAGTCGCGTCCCAGTTTAAGACAAGGGCCTGTTTCTATCAGGCCTCCAGGCCGGGCACCACCCAGGCTGCTCCCCAGCTGCGTCAGGACGAGGAGGCCCTCTTCATCTCTGTAGGGAATGGGGAGGTGCGAGAACTCACCTTGCAGCCCTCACAGGTGATAACCCCGTAGTGGATCCCAGATGATTTGTCCCCACAGATTTTGCAAGGGATCACTTCAATTTGTGCTGGAAAGGAGAGAGAGCAGGCGGTGGGTGGAGACTTTCCGGATGCCACCCCATGCTCCTGGTGGCAGATACTTCCTGGCTTCCCTGCCAGTTTGCTGCTTCCCTCTTGCAAAATGGATTAAGTGCAGTGCCCTGTGATGCTCAGTGGTGGACCTGTAGAGGCTGTTCTGTTGGTTTTTTTTCCCCCCTCTCATTTTCTTTTAGCTTTGTGGGGTAGCCAGGCGTGGTATCAGCTCCACGGGGGTAGAAGCAGCAGCTGCAGAGAGCCACCTGCTCAGCCCTTCAAGTGGAAAAGCTCCAGTTGCTTCCCTCCCGCCTGGGGACCTGGGAGTCCTCGCTGCTGCTTCGCAGCACCTGCTTCCCGCCCAGGAGGCTTCCTCTGTGCCTCCCTCCCCCACGGGTACACTGGCAGAGTGTGGGGCGTGGTGGGAAGGTGTGGGACACCAGGCAGCAGGTGAGGGGTGGCGGGCAGATGGAGAGGTCAGCCATCCTCACTCATGCAGGAAGACTCAGGGAGGGAGACGAGGAGACAGGAACCCAGAGACCAGGGGCCCAGAGAGGGCAGGGAAAAGCCAGAGATGGGGCTCAGGACATTGGGGCACAACAAGGGAGCTTTGCTGGATGCCCAGGAACAGAGGAGAGAAATAGGGCTCACTGGCCCCAGAGAGTCCATGCCCCATGTCTCAGCGGGCAGGAGTGTGAGTGTGTACAGGGGCGTCACGCCCAGCAACAGGAGTGCATCTTGGAGGTTAGCACCAACTGGGACTAGGGACCGTCCCATTCGGCCTCTTCGGCCTCTTTCCCTCTTTCAGGTGAAGGATTAGATCAGAAGAGGCCAGGGGGTGGGCCCAGGTTCACACAGCACGTTTGCCTCAGCCCTGGGTCTAAATCCCAGTTCCCCTGAACTTCCATGTGCTGTTCACGCACATGCTTGTGGGGGTGCACACGACTGTGGGCTTATTTGCAGGTTGTGTGTGTGTGCGAGCACACAATGAAGGGAAGTGTGATTTCTGAGCCAGGGGGCACACTGCTGAACCAGTGTGTACCAGTGAGTATTTGTACCTCAGTGCCATGTACTGGGCAGCAGGCACCCCCTACCCCGACATTGAGCTCTTTGTCACCTGTGCTGCCCCCCTTCTGTAGGGTTTGCTGCTGGCTCCAGCTTCATCTTCTTTACTTTGCCCCTGTCTATGTCTACAGACCATTGCTGAGTTTCAAGGACCAGCAGGAGGCTCATCTTGGAAGGAATGCCGAGCAGGGTGGGGGTCTCTGCTACCTTAGGTGCTTTTGCTGCTTTCAGCAACATCTGGGTCTCTTTCCTGCCATTGCTGGTCTGCTGCCTCTCCTCTGAGTGGGAGGTCTGGACTGTAGTGGGCCAGAAAAACAGTCCAGGCCTGTCTTATCTCTGACATGTCTCCCACCTATCCTTGCCATAGGGGGTGGGTCTGTATTCCTGTGAACTCCCCTCTGGGCCCAGGCCTGGGCCCTGAGCACTTGTGCTATGAGTTGGGGAGGTTGACTGTGGCAGGCCCACTGATCCCCAAAATACTATTTCCATCATCCTTGAGCCATCACCTCTGCAGACTGGCCTTGAGCTGACTCAAGGTAAGTAGCTGCGTCCACATGTGGGGAACAGGGCCACAGGCCTGTCTAGTCCCTCCTTAGAACTTGATCGACTATCCACATCACCCCCTTCTCCTCCCACACCGTCTCAGTCCCACTTGCCTACCCCACACCTCTGCACAGTAAGCTGTGGTCATTCATGACGGAAGGTAAGCGAGCTTTTCAGATTCTCTCTGGCACATTGGAAAGCATGGAAGGAAAGAGATTCAGGCAGGGCTGGGGATCTGGAAAGGGGCCAGAAAACGTGCAGGCACCTGCATGCCAAGTCACATAAGATTCTCTAGGCCTCAGTTCCCTTGTCAGTAAAATCAGGACAGAAATCACCTTGCCTTTCCGTGGGGTGACTGTCAGCCATGCTGTATTAGATGCTGTCACGAAGCCCAAGGCCAAGAGACCAGCAGGCACTAGGAAATGCTCTGGCCTCTCCCCAACCCCACCCCCCTTCTACATTGTGGTCTCTCTCTCTCCTCAGTGACCCTAAGCCCAGAGAGGAGAGAAACCAACATGGGTCACCCAAAAAGGTAAGGGGGAGGGAGATTAGGCCAAGCCACAGTGGGAACTCGGGCTCCAGCCCAGCAGTCAACCACAGGCCTCCCGGCCTCTTCCCTTCTCCAGGAGCCACATCCGTGTGCGTGTGTGTGCTGACCACATGAGTGGCCCAGACGCAGCACCTGCCCCACGCCTGACCCAGCTCCGGACACGGCCTCAGAACTCACTACAGCGGCACCAGGTCTTGCCCTTCCCAGACGATGGTGTGGCCAGTGAGGGACCCCCTCCACAAATACTGGTGTTTGGGGGCGGGTGTGGGTCTTGGACCCCAGCCACTAAGTCGGTCACTCTTGCTTCCCAATCACGGCCCAAGGCAGATGAACACCAAGACAGCACACTTCTGAGCTAGAGCCTTTAGACTCTGAGAGCCCTCTCTCTAGAGAGAACGAGAGGTTCAAGGCCAGGAGATGAGACATATACCCAGAAATGGAGGGCCAGTCACAGAAACACAGGAAACCCCACATGGGAGTCCTGGCCCCAGGCCAGTCTCTAGCTTTGTCCACTCTGTCAGGCTTTCCCAACCCTACTCTCTTCTCATCCTTGCTCCCTCCCATCCCCCGTGCCCACTTCAGTGCCAACTACCCAAAACCTCAAAAAGAAAGTACCGATGCACAGGAGTGTGGCTTGTGGAGGAGGGGAGGAGAGAGGACCAGAGGGAAGGAGAGAGGACCAGAGGGGACTGGTGGAGGTGGAGGCAGGGTGAGCAGGAGTTGAAAACACCACCATATACCACCTTCAAAGCTATCTCTCTGAGAGCCAAAGTCCTGAAGCAGCAAATGGTGGGAACCCAGATTGGGGAGGGGGAGCTGAGTAATCACAGGATTACTCAAACTGTTGCCTGGGAACCTGACCTGCCAGGAACTTACCATCTAACTGTCTGCTGGTGCCAGGAACTAGAACCAAGCAAAGGTCAGGAACCTGAGGCCAGCCCCGCCGCCCTGGGCTCCCCAGCAGCCTAACCCTGCCTGTGTCGCCAGCAGCCACTGGGAGAGCTGTTTGTAACCCTGCTGCAGCGTGGTTCTGGCTGTTGCTCTCTCCTGAGGCCCATCAGAGGAAACCCTCTCATCGCACACACTTCCAAAAGGAGGAGGAATGGCCTAGTGTGCATATTCGCTCCTGACAGTGACCAGTGACTGCATGGTGCCAGCAGCCCTTTGCTTGCCAAGCAAGATCACTGGTCAGCTAAGTGTCTCATTAACATGCAGGTGCCTATGCAGAAGCTCCATTAGTGGCCAAGCTCCTGGGCTTCAGCCTACATTTTTGAATAGCAAGAATTTAGTCCCTCTTCCTCTTTTGTGCCAGGCTACTTCGCAGGGTTGAAGGTGGGATGGGAGGGCTCATTCTTGTGAGTCTTTTCCAGCATAAAATGTGCCCTCTAAAACTCCATTCTGACTCCGTGCTAGGAAAGAAAAGAAAGTGCCATCTCTTCCGGATCCCTTTGGAGATTGGGGGACACCCAGGGAACTTCCTGGGAGGACCTCCTAGGTGAGGAAATACGGTAGGCCTGAAGGCGGCTTCGCTTCAAGCCCCCCCCCCCAACCCTCCCTCACAGCTGTGAGATTCATTGATAGCAGTTCTTTGAATGCCTTGGAGCCTGGCCCAGTGCCACCTTAGGAAGCCAGCCTGGGCCCTATCCAGGTGCCCTATGCCACAGAGAGGAAGTGGTAGAGCAACCCGGGGTGGTGGTGGTGGGGGGGGTCTCTCCCCACACACCCCAGAACCAACCCAGCCCGGTTGGAGGTGAATTCAACTTTGGGGTCCTCGCCTCCTCCTGGTGTCCTGTCAGCCCAGAGCTGAGTCTTGTCTGCCCTCCTTTCTCTCTTCTTTTTTTCCAGTGGATATTGATAAGGATAGTCACAGCTGTTGACTGGACTCTTATCCTGTACCAGACTTTTTGCACATTTCTCACTGGATGATCACACACCGCCTAAAGTAGGAACTGCTTGTGTTGTCCCCGTCTTACAGCTAACAGGATTGAGCCTCGAGTAAGTGGCCTCTGTGACTTGAGAGCTAGTGTCCTCAAACTATATGTCCTGTGAGCGAGAGCTGTCCAGCTGTGCTGGGAGGCTGGGATGGTTGCAGGGGAAGCATGTAGAGTGAGGGGGCAGGCTAGGAGGGGAGTTCAAGGAGGAAGCCTTTGGGCCAGGACTCGTGTCTCGTAAACAGATCAGAGAGACATTATTCCCCCCGCGCCCCCCACCCTCAACCCCGTCCCAACTCTTCTGCTGTGGTCCCAGACACCTCTTGCCTTCACCCATTTCTGGGGGGCAGTCTTCTGTGGCCAAAGTGGAAGGGCTTGCCCATGCCAACAGAGCTCCTGTTGGCTCCCGGGGTGCTGGTGGGGTGCTGGCTTTCACACAGCTCAGTAGGCCGCACTGCAGAAGCGAATGAGTGAAGGGAAAGAAGAACGCAGCCCTTTCCCTAGCTTAGGCCCCCTCTCCCCACTGCCCACACTCTCAGCCCCTGTCTCCAAAGAAACCGCAGCTCCAGCCAGGTCCGTGGTGCACCCCACCCTCCCTCCTTTCTCAGCTCTGTGTTCCCGCAGCTTCTGCAAACCTAGAAACCACGGTGGTGGAGGCCACCACAAGGGAGTGGGGGAGGCGAGCTGGGGGTCTAGAGTGAAGCCAGGTCTGCTGGTAAACACTGCTCCCAGCCCATGCTGACAACACTCTGCTGATACGCCCAGCTCCTAGCGCTGAGAAAGTAGAGAAGTTAAAACTCAGGTGGGCGAGGGAGAGTCTGGGGTTTTAAAAAGTCACCAAAGCCAGCCAGTTACCTGAAAACCCCTCTTAGTGCCCCCGCCACCCCCGCAGTCTGGGACAGAGAAA